CCACACCAGAGTGGTTTGTATCCAGGATCTGAAGATTGCGTTCGTAGGGATGTGGACCAGAAAACGCTGCAGACGTAGGACGAAACCACGTTGAGCCAAGAAACCGGACGCGACCATAACTACCAAGCATATGCCAGGCGGATTCGAGACCAGATAATCGACTGAGTACGTTGACTAGAGCGTGGGTGGCCAAACCAGCTTTCGCCAAAGTTGACTGAAGTCGACGTTATCAAATGGACGATGGTCGTAGGCGTGGGCTCAGGATACAAAAAAAAAATCAAAAAAAGAAAAGTGTAGCATGCGTGTAGTATAGGAATAATCCTACACCGTATGTTATTGACTGTGCGTTTAGTCGCGAAAGCGTACGGGTAATCGTACCCGGCGACCGGAACGTGAGACGGTGGTCTCGTTCGTGCTTCGTGAGCCTGCGATCTCATCCGAGGTCAAGGGCGGCGTGGTCTGCCGATCTGGACGTGAGACGGAAGTCTCGTCCGTAGATGGTGCAGATGACGCGTGCTGTTGACCGGGACGTGAGAACGAGGTCTCTGATGTATCTAGCGTGGGATCCGAGGTAGATGTAGAGATCCCGCTAGAAGGTTTGGTAGGTCTAGCATTGAGTCTCAAGTTATTGGGTAGGGCACTGTCATCGACGTGTGCTGGTTTGAGACGATCAATGCTGACGATCTCGACGCGGCCGTGTCGATCAACCTTGAAGGTCTTTTCGTGACGAGAGATCACGTGAAAAGGGCCTTCGTAAGGCTGTTGTAGAGGTTTGCGTACCGAATCTACTCGTATGAAAACATGTGAACAGGTAGATAACTCTCGAGGGAGAACGACCTGTCGATGTTGTATTCGAGTTGACACCGGAGACAGCGTTCGCATAAATGCAGACAGTCGATGGACGTAGTCTGATTTACCGAAATCATTACTGCTCCGTGGTGTGAAGAATTCCCCAGGCAGACGCAATGTCGTGCCGTATACAAGTTCAGCGGCGGAACATTGGATATCTGCCTTCAAACTCGTTCTGATGCCTAAGAGAACGAGCGGTAAGGTTTCGTACCAATTGTCGTTTTCGTGTGCTCGGAGAGCACTTTTAAGTTGGCGGTGAAACCTTTCGACTAAACCATTCGATGCTGGATGGTAGGCGGTGGTGCGTATGCGTTCCGTACCAAGCAGCCGGGTCAGTGAGGAGAATAATGCGGACTCAAATTGTTGTCCTCGGTCGGTCGTGACAGTCGAGGGACAACCGTACAATGCTATCCATCGTTCTACGAAGCGGTGAGCAACTGTCTCCGCCGTGATAGACGTGATGGGAATAGCTTCGGGCATCAGGCGTAGCGAACGTGCCAATGGGGGCAGCTACGTGCCTGTGCACTTTTGATCGTTGACACCGTAGGCATTGCTTTACCCACATACGAACATCTTTATTCATGGACGGCCAGACGTATCGTGCAGCGATGAGGCGTAATGTGGCTGCGATACCTGGATGAGACAATCCATGAAGGGCATCGAAGACGAGACGGCGATAGGTAGAGGGTACGATGGGTCGAGGTAGACCGGTAGAAATATCACATAGGATAGTACCCGAGCTAGTAGCCAGGGGTACTTCCTGACACTGAAGGGACGAAGATTGTGGTGCTTCTGTACAGACAGGATCGTTTGCTTGCGCGGCAGCCATAGCAGGAAGATCGAGCACCGGTAAAGTAACTGCATTCGTCTGGATACGTGAAAGAGCATCGGCAACATAGTTCGACTCGCCTTTAATGTGACGAAGGTCTGTCGTGAACTGTGAGATATAGTCCAAATGTCTGCACTCTCGTGGTGAGTAGCGGTCAGACTTGGTATGCAGGGCATACGTTAAGGGCTTATGGTCGGTGAATAAGATGAATTGACGTCCTTCTACTGCGTGCCGGAAATGTTTGATGGCGCAGTAGGCTGCAAGCAGCTCGCGACCAAAAGCGCTATATCTCGTCTCCGTGGGAGTAAGGCGTCGTGAGAAAAATTCAAGCGGTTGCCAACTACCGGAGATATTCTGTTGCATAACGGCTCCTATGGCAAAATCCGATGCATCAACCGCTATACTAAGCGTGGCTGATGGGTCAGGATGAGCGAGAAGTGTAACTTCGGCGAGAGCCGTTTTGATCTCTGAGAATGCAGTACGTGCGGTATCGTTCAATTCTAATTTGCGTGGATTACCGCGTAGTAAATCGGTTAATGGTCGTAACCGTTCTGCCGCGTGAGGGACGAAACGTCGGTAGAAGTTAACCAAACCGAGAAAAGCCTTCAGTTCCTTGATTGAGGACGGCACGTTGTACTCCTTGATTGCTCGAATTTTGTCCTCGCAAGGCAGAATACCCTCTTGTCTGATGATGTGACCCAGAAATATTATTTCTGATTTACCCAACTCACATTTCTCTGGGTTTACTACTATTCCATTATCCGAAAGACGTTGGAATAATAGCGTAAGGTGTTGATAATGTTCATCTACGTTTGATGATGCGATCAGCAGGTCATCAATATAGACGTGAACAAAATCCAAGTCTCGTACTATGCTATCGATAAACCTTTGAAAAGTTTGAGCAGCATTCCGTAATCCAAATGGCATTCGTAGGAACTCAAACAGACCGAAAGGAGTCGTGATAGCAGTTTTCTCGATGTCTTCAAGAGTGACTGGGATCTGGTGATATGCTCGTACCAGATCGATTTTAGAAAAGATAGTCGTGCCCTTGAGCGATGCCGTGATGTCGTGTATGTGGGGGATGGGGTAGCTATCAAAGCGCGTAACTACGTTTAATGCTCGGTAGTCGCCGCATGGTCTCCAACTAACCCCATCCTTTTTGCGCACCATATGTAAAGGAGAGGCCCAAGGACTGTGAGAAGGACGAATAATACCAGAAGATAGTAAATTGTCAAACTCACGTTTAGCGAAAGCTAATTTGTCCGGTGCCAGTCGGCGTGGTCTTGCCGTGACTGGTGGTCCGCGGGTGACTATGTGATGTACCACACGATTGGTCACCGATGAAATCTCCTCGAATGGTTTAGTTAATCTGGGGAATTTCTCGAATAAGGCGTGGAATTTATCGTCACGCGAATAAAAAGTGCCGAGGATTCGGTACGCGTTTGTGTGAGCTTTAAAGCCCATGAATTTGCTGTTCGACGAAGTATCGATTAGCTGCAGCCTACGTGAATCGACTAGCAATTCATAGTGCTGTAGGAAATCAATACCTAGTATGGCTGTGGGAACATCAGCAATGATGAACGTCCACAGATACCGTCGTCGGTTGCCCAGGTTGACCGCGAGTTGTCGTGTACCGTAGGTAGGAATTGCGATAATCGTGCACGTAAAATAAACGGCCAACCTGGGGGGCAGGGCTGGCGAGTACGGCCGCTTTTACTCGCCGGCTTTTGAGTTTCCCGCCTTGTATGAGCACGGGGCTCGACAACGGCGGGCACCAGATCCGAAGGATCGATGAAACCAGCACCAACCTGCACTCGCTTCCGAAGCCGCCTTTTGGCGTGGCTTGGAAGATGCCCTCGTTGGGCGAGTGTTGACGGCTTTTCGAGAGCGTGAGCGGAATCGAGGGACGTAGGGTTGGGGTACGTTACAACGGTCTCGAAAACTAAGACGTGTGTGAATACACCCTTCCCTGTCACCTTGAGCCGAGGAGTGGTTGCCGTCGATATCGACTTTCGGACGAGACGTTGAGGCAACTACGTAGCTGTCTCGATTGCCAGTCCTAGCTAGAATTTTGTCTGCTGTGAGGGCTACCTGATTCAGTGGTGCGTCCTCGAGCAGGGCCGTAACTGTAGGTTGGATAAATGCTAGTAGAGATTCGAGCCACAGTTCTTTAACGATTTCAGAATCGGCTGCCGTGGGTCCTGCAAGAGATTGCAGGCGCGTGAGGTGGTGGCTCGGTTTAGCATCACCCAGGGGGTGACGTGCTAATAACGTCCTCAATCGTTCCTCCCTCGATGGAAGGAAATGTCTGAGGACCGCCTCCTTGAGACGATCGTAAACATTGGGCACATTGGAATTGAGGACAACCTCACGGACAGCTACTAAATGGTCTCCCGGTAAACATTCGAGAGCGTAAGTGTACTTCTGCCGTTGGCTTGTAATATGACGGGTCTCAAATTGAGACTCTATAGCAGCAAACCAAACTTCGGGATCGTGAGGAATAAAAGATACAGGTCGAAAGTGTATAACCTGTACGTCAGAGTCTATTACGTTAATATTATTCTTATCGTTATCCGTCATGTCAAATATATATATTAAAAATTAATATGAAAATATATGACAGACGTGGATAGATAAGCGATAGACTCACCAAAATTGACTTCTTTGGAAGGTTTGGTTGCGATTGCCAAGTGGTCGTAGATGTAGGTTCACCAGTTGCAGAAGATTTGACCGAAGTTGAGGCGTGTTCCAAAATTTGGGTCACCAAATGTAGCGTGGTGTCGAGTTGAGCTGAACTATGAACACCGCTACCAGACTACTTGCCAATAGACCAATAAAATTCCGATAGGCCAAAATATCAGAAGGCAGATGATTGTAGTAGTCGTATATATTTGTTGGCGATCTCGTGGTATCGAAAGAATACCGAGATCGTGCCAAAGGAGTACAGTTGCGATCGGCAAGATAAGATACGTGCGTAATCCAAAAACCGCGTAAAAGCAATGGAATACAATGGAAGCCCAAAATGGCTGTTCTTAGCACAGTTAAACAAACGAGCACAGTAAAACAGTCACTGGTACAATTGGTTATAATAATAATTGTTTTCATCGAACCAATCGTGTTCTGTTGACAAAAGTAGGTCACTACAAATATTAAACCAGTGTTAAATTCCGGAAGTCCATCGTTGTTCCCTTACGCTGCGTTTGGTGAATCACTTATTCCTACCTTTAAAACCGATGGCTATAGTTATGAAGATTTGGAGTATTTTCCGGAACTAGAGATCTTTATAAGTTTTACATATAAGGAAGTCAAGGACAATTGTAAGGCGGAAAATCAAGTGTAACTTCATCTTTTTGTTAAATTAGCTATTGTTATTTTATTTTTCTGTGTCCTTCACCCTTTCATAATTCTGGCTTTAAAATTATTCTGCTACGAGGTCGTATGTCGAGTGGAAAGTCTCAAAATATAAGTATACCGTCATTTACATATACATACGTGAACTATGCTGCAACTAAAGCTCTTCAAACCTAAATCTTGAACGAAGTCACATTATTTTTGATGAAATCGTTTCCAAGATGTAGTGCGTAAAACTGTTTATCATTTCTACAAATACAAGTGGCTCAATAATTACTCCGCTTAAGCGGTGTGAATTCATCATGAGTTACGTATGGGACCATAGGTAACTTACCGGGTTACCGTTTAAAGCCAGATTTATTCCTTCTAAGTTTCAGTTTTGATGATATCGACTGTTGCATTAGTTACAGATCGCATTTCGATTTGTAATAGTGACGGTTATCAAGCACCATTGTCTATCGTAGGTATATATAGCCGAACTCTGTCACTTAACTAAACATTACAAAGTTTACTTGGTGACGTTTGTTCAGATTAAGCAAATTTGTTGCTTTCCAAACGTCTTTTATGCTCAGAATACTGACCCATTTGATTTTCGAATAAACAGACGATGCCTGAAATGTATGAATGTGAAGTGACATTCACGTTCGTAATTTTAAGTCAATGTACTTTAGAAAAAATCTAAATATTGGAAGTATTTCCATATTTAATAAATTCAAGAATTCCAGGTTTAAGTTTGTCGGTCATATATCGCCGAGCTGTCACTTTTATGTGCAGCTGCATTTCATGTGTATTCGTAAACACATTCGGTTTGTTATATCAGTCACTGAATGTTTTTTAGATCTCTGTGTCTGTTTCCGTTTTTGCACAATGTTATTCTGATTTATTCATCAGCAGCACTTTTTGTTAAATGTAGCATATGGACTCAGGAGTCGGTTGTGTAACGTCTACGTACACATCTGTAAGTTTTTCACTTTCTTTAGTGTAGTTTTTTTATTTATTTGAACATATAGATATTGGTACAAAGGGGTACCGAATACTTATGCTCCGCACAATTCACTTGATTTGTGTGTGGGCTGTGATACTGCTTGGGTGCTTAGACCAAAGCAGGTCTTTGATGTAGTGGTTAAAGTTGATAATCGAACGATCGTGTGCGATTAACTGTTATAGAAAATGTTTTAAGCATTCCTAGTGTTTGATGTAACAAAGGAGTATACGTTAATAAGAATTAAAAAGGTAGATTCTTCTGGTCTTCATCTTTCACGATGTTTAAAAGACGTGTTCGTGAAAACTGATTTTTGTGTCTTAGTATCTAAATAAATGTTTTTAAATTACTGTGAGTTACAAGTCATCGGTAATTGTGCTGAAACTTAGCCTTCCAAACATAGGTAGTGCGGCTGGATTTGAATCCACAACTAATTGTCAAATCCGATTTCACGAATTGCCAAACCACAGGACATTTGTCAATAATCATTAGCAAACTCAGTGTGTTTCATTCTAAAGTATTAGGTTGCAAAATGTGATAACGAAGCCAGATAATGACCACAAGCCGCTACGTACTTTTGTATTTGTCTAAATTGTATGGGCTTCCCGGTTTAAATCGTCAGATCTGCAATAGTTTGTTCAGAGAGAGTCATATAAAGTTCGTCATTAACAAATAGTTTCATTTAGTATTATCAACTGGAAACTAATTGCTTCGCGGCATATTACATCAAATAACTTTGAAGCTCGTCTCACTAATCCAAGTAATAGTCATGGTTGGGTGGTTTTCGACTTTAGGATTTCACATTGTACAAATAACAATGTACAATTTGTCCATTTTTAATTGCTTAGAATATGTAAAACGTCAAACTGGTGCTCCAGATTGTCACTTATAATCATTTTGTACTCACATGTCACCAGGAATATTCAGAGATACAGTATTTTGTTAATAATGTGAGTAAATTGCCAACAAATATTGTAAAATTTGTATAAGTTGTCCCCAAGTGAAACATGATGAAGAAGTGAAACGTTGTAGCTACCTAATTTATTGTGTACGGTTTCTGTAGAAATTAAACATATCATCTTTATTATCATTATTGTTTTCATAGACTAACCCAGAGTTGTATTTCCGGGATGGTAAACGCAGAACTGATTATGTCCTTGCTTATCGGTTTTCCACGTCGAAATATAACGATCAAAATCGACGCCTTCTGTTTCTCAATGAGCTAGCAAAGCAGAAAATAGAAATAGAAGTAAGTAAAAATGTGCTATTTCTTTCTCTAAGTTCGTGAATCATGTGTACATGATCTACAATGTGGCTTCTGTGCGTTATGACTGTTCCATCAGGATCTAGTAAGTATTTTTGTAGAATCTTTTTTTAAAAGCTACCCAAAGAAAAGCATCTGTTAGAATATTTCACTAATGCAACTTGTTGGCTTTCTGAATATAAATACCTCATCATTAACGTTCAGTAATTGACATGTTAGGTCAATAAACTTAAGAATGCATGCTCAGTTTTATCTTTAGTTTCTAATTCCTGTTCGTATAAGTATTTAAATGTTTGGTTCTAAGTTGATACCTGTTGGGGACGATAAATCCCCCAAAAACTCACATTTGTAGTTTTCTCGATTAACTTATCGATTAAATGTTTAAATGTTTGAATAGCAGTCAATTGACGAACTTAGTGTTTAAAAATTTATATGACAATATCGATTATATATATATTTGTATATATACGTTTTAAACTGTTTTGTTTGGGATCGCTCGTTTCTGGTGGTTTCAGAATATACTTCTCATTTCAAGCCTGGACTTCTCTCTCTAGATAGCTGGGGCTGGAACGCGTCATTAGCTAGCTCACTGGTCGTTGATCACCGAATCTCATTCTCGTTCGCAAATTTAAGTGAACTCGTTAAGCTTCAAATCTAACGATACCGTTAATGAAATTCATTTGCAATTAGTACTTATGTAAAGCATTTATATGTTATCAGTTCCATTTAATAAATATTTTTCTCTCTTTTATAAGTTATTTGAATAGCACATAGGTAACTTGAATCCACTTAAGGACTTACTAACATATATTTTGCGAATAACAAAGCCCTAAATGCACGAAAAAATTTGACTCACAAGGGGCAGGCTGCCTTTCGTTCCGGTATAGAATTCGTTGATCATATCTTCATCCTTCTCCAAATGTTAGAATACCGCCATACATATTCCAGGCTAACAACGGTCGTGGTGTTTCGTGACATCAGGTCCGCCTTCTGTTCATTGGACAGGACCATTCCCTCGGATTGTCTATTGAAGGGTGTAACTGGAAAGTTTATTGACATATTGAAGGCCCTATACAAAAACACCTATATGCTTGCGGAACCTGGCCTCTTAGTTGAGGATGTTAAGCGACCTTTTGTGTTTGATCACTCTTGTATCCAACGGATTGCTGACATTCATTGTTAACACCATGTTAGTAGTGCAGAGGTTTGGGAACGTGTGTTCAGTGACTGCAACAATAATTCAACTAATGTCACCACCTTGAAACATCGACCTTGGTGACTTGGACTTACACTACGAATTTCTTCTCATCTAATTTGATGTCTTGCATAATTTGTCAATGCTGGGACTGGTTGGAGAAAGCGGATAGGTAATCAGTGTGTGACGTGGTGTTGTATGGAAGAAAGCTGCACTGGACTGGCTGATGTTACTCCTTCATGATTCTTTGTTTGATGTTCCTGAAATGTTACAATTCAGTGGATTGAAATGTTATCAGACATGGCTTAGAACAGAAGTCAATGGCTGTAGCTTTTACTTTCTTCATAAAATTGAGTAACTTCTTTAATTCAATGAATTCTTTCTGGTTATATTTTTCCTAAATGAACTACTTCTTCTTCATTATTATTATTGTTTAACCCTTATACATTGATTTCTATTCATTTTTGTTCCTTTTTTTTTAAACTATTTTATCCACCTGCCTTTATCTCCTCACAGCCTCATTTTTTTGTATGGCGCATATATTTTGGTATTCTCTTGTTTCGATGCTTACATGTTCAAATAAATAAATAAACGGCATACTGTATAAGAATAAAGAAAATTGTTGAAGATTTTATGGATAAAACTGTCGTTCAAATCTCCTTCTTAAACACTAATTATGTGTCATTTAAACCACATAAAAACAATCCTATAAGGATAATAGTAGCAGAGAATAAGAGACTAACAATAGAGTAGAATGATATATATAATGAAGTATTTTAAAGATTGTCCTTTTCAAATCATTTGAATACCAAAATATCATCGAAAGTTAACTAGAATTACATTTATTGTACTAACTTTTATTATTAGTGCAACTCATTTACTAACTACATGTTTTGAGTCATTTTTTTTCAAGGGAGGTTAGTAATATCACCCTTTGCTCAAATTTAAGATGCTGACACAGTATTAGAACATATGACCTTTAAGCTGATATTTGACTACTTTAGTTATTTATTCATATGGTGAAATCGCCTCTTATCTTGCCTTTATATGTTGCTTGAATCTTTTACATTAGTTTGATGTTAGGAATCAATGAAATTTTAGGCACCTAACAATCTCATGTCTGTCAAAAACATTTCATAACCGTGGATATTAATTGCCAACTCATTGTGTATTTACATGCACACAACAGAACGTTTTAGAGCCACCAATGTAAATGGATAGTAATATGAAGGTTTTATAAAGAAAACTGTTTAAAATCAATTAAAAGTGAATTTATCGTAATTGTCATCATTCTCTTTATCCTTACACAAAAATATATTTCTCTGATATTATCGATTATCTCTTGTAAAAGAGGTAATGTTTAACATTTTTTTGTTTCGTTATTCATGGTTTTTTATATCTACAAACATTTCATAATATTCAATTGTTATACAAACTTATAAATCTTGGGGGTCATAATGTTTTGATTGGATTTTCATTGGACTTTACAGAGGTTCTATGAGATGTTTTTAAGGAGATTTAATAATTACCAAGTCGAAACATTGTTAAAATGCAAGCAGTATGATTAGTCGCTCAGTAATCTAGGATATTTTAATAATTAATGAGTCGATTGAAGCTAGACCACCATAGAAAACCTCGAAGCACTGGACGGCCGTTTCGTGGATTGGTTGAAGTTAGACATTAAAACCTGGATACCGGTTCAGTGGCCTAGAGGTTAAGCACCCGCGCGCGAGACTGATAGATCCTGGGTTCGAGTCTGGCGAGGCGGGGTCGTGAATGAGTAATGCTGAAGAGTCCCATACTAGGACGAAACGGCCGTCAAGCGCTTCCACGTTTTCTATGGTTATCTAGTTTCAATTGATTCATGAATTCAACTATTAAATTACTATAATATCCAAAAAAATCCCTCTTTGATTATAATCTCAGATATGTTATTAAAAAAAATGATTTTTTACGCAGATTAAAACTATAGATAATTTCTAATGGTAAAAATGATGTTATTTTGTAGGTAGAACTGAACATACTCTTTTATTGACTCAAGAACCTGCATACTTGATGTACATGTTTGTTCAATTTGTAACATTTAACCTTTGGTAGGTTTGTGTCTAGTGTGAAAGTATGTTGTATGATAGCAGGAGTGTAATGAGCTTCATGTGTGAGGAAATCAGAGAGAGAAGAACAAGGGAAGTAGAGTGACCCAACTTGTAAGTAAACACAGATTACGTCAGTGTTCAGATAATGAAAGTAATCGATAATGGTTAGCGTGAGGTTAAAACGTTTTGACAATTGAAACTAGAAATTATTAAAGTACGATTTCGAATGCGTTATAATTGTGGGACAAAGTAATAAATAAACCGTCATATTCTAAAGAAAAAAAGTATTTTCTAGGGTATTACTGATACTTTTGAAGTAGATATCCGTGTCTATTGTAAAAGCACTTTCAACAATTTTCTAAAAATCTTAAGACTACCAATAATTGAAATTGGCTTTTACTGCGTATGTATCTGTTTGATAAGACGGACATTCTAGTGCATAAATTTTCATTATTTTGATGATGTTGTTACAAACCAACTATTCTTTATCAAAAAAATAACCACAATAACTCTTACAGTTAATTAACAACGGGAAGTCAGAATTGGTTCTATTGTTGTATTGACTTTTTGATTCGGATATCTGTCGTTTGTGCCACTCGAGTTGCCTAAAAACTGCTAAACGTTATTTACAAGAGGTGTAAGATAGCACTCTTTCCAACACTGAGCCAGTAAAATGAAAAAAGCTTCACATCCACTTGTATATATGGTTTGTATTTCCCTATAGTTGTAAAGTATGGTTTATTAGAGTAGAAGATCTTTAAACTGTACGTTTTTTATCGATGTCTTACAAGAATTACTTGCTTATCATGGAACGACTGAGTGAACAATAATTGAGTTAGACATGGTGTACCATTCAAGGTCGTGATGTTGGTTAATGAGGTTGTAAATGTATATTTGATCACTGCCTGCCTCAGCGTGCTGTAGGCTAGAGTAGGAGTATGTTAGAAAAAAGCTAGGACTGACCAAACTAAGATAGTGTCAGTCTGTGAAGTCGTTGACTGACAGACCAAGCCGTATTGACAAATACAAACTACCTGGTTGATCTCCTCGTAGTAACCGAAATCGGGGGTTATTAACATTGGGTGACATTAGTCAGAATTGGCTAGCATTCATTCACATTTTGTCTTCCACTAAATCTTCAGTTCCAACATTCTTTCGTGCATAACTTTTCATTTCTTAATTTATAATATACGCAATGTGTATTCTATCTCACCATCAGTTCTACTAAACTTATTGTACTTCCTTTTTTATTTATCTCGTTAATCCTCCTCCGTTGTGCTGATTTGGTATAGTGATTCGATTTAAGCCAGGTTCTATGTTTATTATAGCTAACTTTTGTATGTATTTCCTATACATTATTATATTTCGAACCAATTTACATGTTCTTCAAGTAAACTCACATTTTGTTTTGTCAATCAAATTCATTCCAATAGAATAAGTCACTTTCTTGTCAAATATATTTAGTTGATATATCATTATTTTAAAAGTGTAGTATAAATTTTATGTATAATGTTTTCCTGTCTTTTTTGTTTATCCTCTTTAGGTTGAAGATTCTAATGGTAATTTACTAGGTGCTACTGTAGCATCAAATGAAGATGAATTTTCATCATTAACTCTCAAACCATCATTTGTACATTTACAAACCAGTGTATCTCTTCACCCCGGAGAACATTCTGAACCTTTTATGCCTACTTCATCTATTGATTATGTAGAACCAGATAAACCAACAGATACAAGTCCACCATCGTGCATGGATCGTTATCGTCACCAAGCTTTGGATGATAAAACAATTTTGATGACTCCAGATAATTTAGTCTTTGTCAAATTACATGCTTCATGGGAAGCAATGACATACTATGCAGAATATTTAAAAATGCGTAAACCACTTCGTCAAGTAAGTTTAAGTAATTATCAAAATTCTGTGTACAATTACTAAAAAATAAAATTTTATTTATTATAGAATTACGCACATATATTTACAGAGAACCCTCGTTGAATAAACGTGTGAATGATGACTAAGTAGTTGAAATACTCAAATATTCAACATTAGATTGCATTTCCGAATCCTACACCCTATTGGATTCGGGTTTTTTTGCAACTTAGGAAAGTATAATCAACTCCTCAAATAAAATAGTCTGCTCAATGCTTAGTAGTACTAGTAGTATGGTGCATGCTACTTATGCTGAGAGATATAAGCAGTATATAGCAGCAATTGGAAGTGGAATGCTTGCCAGCAGAAGATTGAGGAGATTGAATTGAAGAGAATAGGAATTTAAATAAAGAGCAGTTGTTCTAACTACAAAAACTGAAAAAATCTTGAAGTATGTAAAAGAAAACTGAAGGAAGATGTACAAATAGTGTATTAAATTTATGATTTTCATATTTTACGAAGACACTGTTATTTTGATATAAACAGCAGATTGTTTATACCCACCAAGTTTTCGTTTAATTCAGTACTTACGCCCGTTACTCCTAATGGAGCTAGGTCGCCGACCTGCATTCTCCAACCCATTCTGTCCTGAGCCTTCCTTCCCAGTTCTGTCCAGTGTTTGTTCATTTTTCTCATGTCTTTCCCCATTTGCTGGTGTAATGTGTTCTTTGGTCTTCCTCTTTTCCTTTGGCCTTCAGGATTCCACGTGAGGGCTTGTCTTGTGACGCAGTTGAGTGCTTTCCTCAATATGTGTCCTATCCACTTCCAGCGCTTCTTCCTGATTTCTTCCTCCACTGGGATCTGATTTGTTCTCTCCCACAGTAGGTTGTTGCTAATAGTGTCCGGCCAACGGATCCGAAGTATATTGCGTAGACAACTGTTAATAAACACCTGTATCTTTTGGATGATGGATTTTTTAGTTTTCCAGGTTTCCGCCCCATACAGTAGAACTGTCTTCACATTTGTATTGAAAATCCTGACCTTGGTGTTGGTTGACAGTTGTTTTGAGTTCCACGTTTTTCAGTTGTAAATATTCTGCATCAGATCCACCGTGTTCATCGATGATGCTGCCCAGATATGTAAAGGTTTGTATATCTTCCAAATCTTCTCCGTCAATTGTGATTGGATTGTTGCATGCTGTGTTGTATCGGAGAATCTTGCTTTTCCCTCTGTGTATATTGAGACCTATTGCTGCTGAGGCTGCTGCTACACTGGTCATCTTCTGCATTTGTTATTGCGTGTGCGATAGAAGGGCCAGATAATCTATGAAGTCTAGATCGTCCAGCTGCATCCTAGCTGTTCGTTTAATTCAGTGGTATATATTAATCGAATTGCAACAAACTATAAATAAATAATTCTTCAATTTACAATGAAATAATCCTTTTGTATGAAAGGAAAAGATAAATACTAATCATTCATTTATTTTCTCACCATATATTCAAATAATCTGTAATACTGTTACCCTAAATAAATAAACTAAGGTTTTTGCAGAGAAAGAATAATGAAGATAATTATAAATAATTATATATCAAAACGGAAGAATATAAATTGTAAAATGTGAACATAAAAATGAAGTTGCAGAACATTTATACACATGAAACGTTGAATTGATATAATTACAAATATCAACAATGTTTTAACGTCGTATCCTAAACACGTTCCATTAGTGTTAGCTTAGTTTTCTCTAAGTATCTATTATGTTTCAAACATTACTTAAGGAATAATAAAATATCCATATGATTTTGTGCATTTAGTGTTCTATGGTTAATTATTTTAATTGAAGTGGCTTTTAAATTAGTTTTGAGCTCTTTTTTATTATTTGAATTATAAATAGAATTAGACTCGATCATATTTGATTGATAACATCGAATTACTGATAAAATCTGCCGAATAATGAAATAGTAGGAATAGAAATATATTAATTATTGTTTATCAGAATGGGGATTTTTGTGCAGATTATAGTAATTCTAATAGTTAAATCCATGAGTTGATCTGAACCAGACCACTATTGACAACCTGGATGCACTGGACGGTTGTTTCGTCCTAATATGGGACTCCTCAGTGGTGCGCATCCACGATCCATCAAGTGGGACTTAAGGGTTAAACGTTCGCGCGTGTGACTGAAGGTCCTGGGTTCAAGTCCCACGTGCGGGATTGTGGATGCGCACCGCTGAGGAGTCCCATACTAGGACGAAACGGCCGTCCGGTGCTTCCAGGTTTTCAATAGTGATCTAGCTTAGATCAATTCAACTGTCAAAATTATTGTTTAGTAAAATAAAAGTTATATACAAAATAATGTTGTTCGAAGAAGTTAAAAGCGGGAATAATTGTAGGATACAAGTTTTGTACATCGACTAGTTGTTCACCTATTCACATTTCATCACTTTCCATAATTATTTCTTAATAATAAGTAAAAGTAAGACCATTTTAACACTTCTACACTTAAAATTAATTTGATTCCTTATGATTGACTAAATAACTGATAATGCACCGTTAAGTAGTTTATTACTACTTTATTTGTATGATAGAGTGAACTTAGTCACTTGATCATAGGAATCGTAAAACCTGGCATATATATTTTAGTTAGCATATCATATGAAGTTAAGAAGACAAATCCCAGAGCAATGGAAGTAGTAACGGTATCAGTCATAGTAGGAAAGTATATTTATAGATTAATGGTATGAGAAAGGAAAATAAACTGACAGAATAGAAAGTATGGGATGATTTTAAAACTAAAGAACTAAAGGAAGACAAAGAGTGAATCTTTTTGCTCCATTGAAATGGATTCTGAACCATTTCACCTAATGTCTCCAATCATTAGTTACGATAATCGTGACGTCACCAACTAAGTACTCCGCGCCTAGCACTACTCTATCCAATAGTCAGTGAATTCATGGACTAATGCCAAGTTTTAGTTTAACCTCCCCTAGGTAGAGTTAACTTACTGATATTCGATCACTGTACTGAAATCTAGCTTATTAAGTTCTTTAATATACATTACTTTACAACTTCCATCCAATGTTATACAAATTATTTCTTTCAATTAGAACTTTAAGAGAGTTTTATGGGTTGATGAATAACAGCAAACTATTGTTCGATGAAGTTCTCATCGTGAACTGAACTCGTTAATTGAACAATCATGAGAAGTCAATCGCTCTTCGATATTGCACCATGCATCATGTTTAACACCAAGCTCAGAGTTTAATTGTGTTTTCTTCCTGAGCTTCTATACTTAATTTTCAGGAATAATTTACTCAGAACTATGGCCAGAAATATTGATTATTTTGTTCAGCCGTATTTTAGATTCAAATTTCTGACAAATTACTTTCATTTTAAAATGAATCTTCAATATTGTATAGTTTGTTCAAACTTTTTTCTTACCCTCTCTGAACATTCCAACTGGGAAAAGATAAAAGTTATCCGTTACATACTCATTACAAACCGTATCTTACCTGAATCTGTAACCTATATACAAATACTTTTCATAACAAACTGAACAGAGCTAGAACAGTTTATCCATCTTAGTTTGGGATGTGTTTATAGGGAAGACACTTCACTATACCTGGGATCTAAGCCTGGACATCAAAGTCTACTTACCATTGTATCAACCAAAGTGATCATTAAGCACTCAGAATTTAATAACTTATTTTTTACCATGAAACATTTTGTTTTTCGGTAGTAATCTCTAATAGTGTGAGATGTTACTACTGCTCACTCAAATGATAATATAAAAAATTATTATATTACATACTAGTTTCTGATAGTTCTTAAAGTGATATTACTTCCAGACATACATAATTAACGATAAAACTCGTTTATTTAAGATCGTTTTATGTACTCTTCTTTGCGACACACTATCTGTATTAGCACTACAGGTGGTACTTGGTGGCTACCCAAATCTCATACAAAACTCCCAAACAACCTAAATTAATAGTCCCAAATTTCTTTCTTTGAGTGAACAACCAAACTTCGTAGGTTTAAAGCATGATGATCTCAAAAATTATGTTCTCAGATAATTTCTGGAGAAGCCATAACCATTGGAGTTCAAAAGTGTCTAGTGTAAACCAGTTGCTTTCAGAAGACAATAGAGAATGTCTAAGCAATATTGAGAATTAACTGATGTTAGACATATAAAACATTAAATACTGGTTCAGTTGTCTAAAAGGCATACATCGTGTGTGATCTGAATGACCTTGGTCTAATCACCGTTTGGGCTGTGGATACACGCTGTTGAGGAGTTTTTCACTGGAAAAGAAAGAAAAACAGCTCTTCAGTACATCCTGTTTTCAATGGTCACTTATTGATCTCAGTAACATTTGAAAATCTTTACGAACCCTTGGCACCGATAATTATCATATGTTCATTAATGACTAATTTTGAGAGCTATTCCCCGGAGTTCTAATACAAAGCTATAACCAACCAGTGAAATTCAACCATATCAAGTGTAAAACAATTACTCATCGAAGATGATCAAAGATAATTGTTCAATATCTCGATTAAATATTATCCACTAGCTAATTCTTCACATTTTATATCCAACTCTAATTATGTTTACATTAATTTTTAAAGTCTGGTAAAATTTTTCAAGTAAGTTAAAATGATAAACGAACAATAATTAAGATACATGAAGTTTGTTTCTTTATTATGTAATACTTAAATGAATCATTTAGATAATTCATAATTACATGATTTCTATTGTAATAATTAAAACAAACAAACAACAGAACAATTTATTTGTGTTTGATTTGTTTTACTGCAAATATTGGCAACCAGTGCTTAGTTCATAATTATAACAATCGACATCAATTAATTTACAATGTTTTCATTCATAATTGTTTGTGTTTTGTTTTGGCTTCTTGTACTTGGCTTTATATATTACATTTTAATTGTAAAGATTAATGATATTATACTTGGTTGATCAAAATGAAATAAAGTGAAATGGAATTTAATTTTATCCTGTGTAAGTTGAATAGCTTAACTACTGAAGTATCCTTAGTCAACTGTATGAAATTATTACTATTCAATGTTTAAATATACATTCTCTAAATCATTTTGTGACATTATTAAAAATATAACCTATTTAGTATCCTCTTTGGTTTTGAAACAAATTTCCTAGTGACGTTATTAGTGGTTCTTTATAGGATATCGTTCGTGGTTAATAGTGTTATGTAGAACACTTATTTATTTGAATAATGTTTTTTCTATGAGTATCGAATGTTCATCATAACGAATATTGATAGATTCTATTCTACTTAGATCAAGGTTGTCTGCTGTTGTTCAGTAAACTAATAGTATACGGGATTTGTAGCGTTTTCACAGTTCTAATCAAAAGCTGTGACAAGTGAAGTTCAATGCATGTCAGGTGTAAGACAATTATCCACTGCAGGAAATGGATGAAGGGTTGCGCAAGATCACAGATTGATTGAAGTTGAACATTAACACCGTTGGATCCCGACTCAGTGGTGTAGAGTTTAAGTGTTCGCGCGAAAAACCGATGGTCTTTGGTCCGATTCCTGTGTGTGTTCGTGGATGTGCACTCTTAGGGAGTCTAATACTGAAACGAGATAGCCGTCAATTGCTTCTAGGTTTCCAATGTTGGTATAGCTAAGATCAACTTATGTCTATCGTGTAATCAGTGATTGATAACGTTGATTTTCAACCTCAACATCCAATACTTTAGATTATCTATAAAGTATATTCTAAAATTTCTTGCTACCAATCCTTAGATGGGTGAAATATTACCATAAATATTCATTATGCTGTATGTGTATCTGTCCCTATTTTTATCTGTAATGATTGATAGCAATTAATTCAATATTTTTGCTGGCTTGTATACAAACATACAAATTTTTCAGCTAGCTTATGGTTGGAAAGTAAGTATGTTGTTTTCTTACTGTTGAACGGTAAATGTACGCATGCATGCGTTTGCTTTCTGATGGATGGTTGACCTTGATTAGTGTACACATTTGCATGTGTTTGTGTGTGTTTATAATACTAGTTTTCCATAGCTTGTTGATAAAATGACAAGTAACTAACCTTTCACTATTTATTTTGCCTTTACTATTTACTAATATTTTATGTATCAATATCACTTATCAATGTCAACTGAAGTGATAAACTAATAACACTAAGCCTAGAAATTTCAAATTTTTTTACGCGAAAAATATTGGATGCATCTGTGCATTATGTTGCTCAACAGCCACCTCTCTTTTCAATGTAGTTTTGTCGGTCAGTCTCATCAGCGTAAAAGAATTTTTAAATCATTTTTGTTTAGTTAATCTTGTTAGTGATGTAGAGTTGTTGTGTAATGTACTGAATCAATTGTGTTTTTTCTTTCATTTGTGAGATAATAATCACGCTAATTGTATAGTTGAACAAACTGTGTAAAATATCTTGAAAATTACCCCTATATATACTTATAGATCAGTTTGAGCTGTTGTTTTGCTTTCTACAATGACCTTATTTTATTTAACATATTTCGGGTTCAGTGTCTCTCATTGTTGGTTACATATGCAAATCATTTATATTAAATACGTAGCATAAGTTAAATTTGATAAGTTTGATTATCTTATGAATGTGTGTAGCGTCAGTGCCTACACAGGTCATGTCTAAATCTTGACATTTATTCTGACACTATGAACAGGCTTGTATGTTTTTGATAACTCAGATGAGCCACATTTTTAATCCAATTTCTTTAAATTCCTCAAAACGAAGTGTTCTTGATAAACTGGGTAGTTAATTTTAGACGTATAACTTACTAGTACTCGCATGTTATTTCTATAATCTTTATCAATTTTTTATGCCAAGTAGTATAGTTTGATCGCCATTATCAATGATCCACTTTATTTCATCAAATTATTGATTGTGATGTATTCTGAAATTTCAGTGTAGTCTATCATCCGAATAGTACTGTCTGTCATCTGAATGGAAATCATACACTTCTAGATTTTTATTACATGATCGTTCAGTAATTAAATTATAGTCTAATTAATGAGATGTTGATTTAAAAGACTTCAAGATTTTAACATAAAGGTACATGTTCAGCCTTCAAATCATAGGAAAATCTCATTGGCTTATAGTACATAATTTATGCTAAGTTTCTGCGTTATTCAATTTTTCAGTATTGTGTCTAAATATAACGCTCCAAAACCTTTTTTATAGAAAGGTTATTTTCTCACGGTCACATTTTATTTCATGAATATTGTTTTGGTTCAGTGTACTAGGGTCTACTTCTTATTTAATAAAAATCTAGTAAATATCTCATCAAGAACGATAGTTTGGTGGAAATTCTTGCTTTTTCTTATGGTTCTACTGTCAATAGTATGTAAGTTTTGAACCAAAAAGTATACTTTACACAGCTCAATGACTACGTTGTTGAGAAATAAAGAGGCAGGGGTGATTCGCGAAAGTTTAGTAAAAGCTATAAGTATATTTTAATAAGTATTTAATAAACAGTTGTTTGATTCAACTTATAAACCATCTTATAACTCATTCACTGATGATGTACCTTTTACCGTTCATACATCACAAGTCAGTTAACATTGTTTCGAAATTATTTTGCGTCTTGATCACGTACTTGGAAAATTTGAATTTCTGGCGTTCCAACTCGGCTGTATAGGGGTGTGGTAGTTTGCATGACCTATCAATTATGTGATGGATACGGTAACACGGATTGTGAGTTTATTGGTGGGAGTATATTCGTAGTCAAACATGTATTATAGAAACAACACAAGTATTTTAAAAGATCTTTGTGAAGTGTAAATATAATCAAGAAGGTTTTCATAGTTAGCGTAATTACATTGTATGTTTTATGAAGAATAACACAACATTTATCTACAACAGTGTTGCTACTCGATTTTTGTCTGAATCATACCTATTAGCCTAAATCGTTTAAGACTTTTCTTTCGTTCACTATAAAAACATTTCTGTTCTTACTGCTGTCGGTAGAGGATCATTTGAACTGTTATTTAAAACTTTGATAAGGCGGGATAATGGATATCAGTGAAAACCAGAATACTCGCGTTGTCCTATTTCTAATTCGTCAGCTGAACATGCCTGCATCCCAGTTTTATTATTCACACTGAAATTCGAACCTAGTACCTGTCACCTCAAATGCCATTATTTTATACACTGAGCTTTATTCCTCTAATTTAAAAGACTGATTGTCAGTCTCCAATCTTTGTAATACATTATTCTAACGTACAAATGACAGACCAAAAGAAATACGCTTTTATCCTCTATTTGTATCTTCCGTAAATAAATTTCATGATTTGTTTCCCATGTCAAAATTCTAATTATTGTAATGCCTTCTAATATTGGATTTCAGTCTTAACGAAAATATTGACACCAGAATTCAGGTTCATCCGGCTGATGGGTTCGAATCACGACAAAATGAGCATCCTGAATTCCATTACCGGTCACAATTTATTTGTCATATTAGTCTGTAGTTTACATATTTTTATCAAGAAAAAAACACGTTTATTTGTTCATTAGTTCTTTGTTTTGTTTTCATTTCCTAACTAGCTGGAAAACCGACCACCTAAACCTTCTGTTTTAAAAGATTATTTTAAATGTATACAATTGGACAAAAATATTATCAAACCGATTGATACATGTTGTACTTGGCCATTTTCGCTGAATAGGCAATACTTGTAAGTTGTTACACTTTTTATTAGTGTTATGAGATATATGCAAAATAATATTGATTTTTACTTCAGAAGGTTTATGAAGACTGTGGCATATCATGGTTTGCATCACCGAATGATTTTAGTTAAACAATCATTAAAAACAAGGAAGCACTAAGCAACTGTTTAGTCCTAGTATGGGACTTATACATAGTGCGTTTCCATGATTCCACCGAGGATTGAGCCCAGGATATTTAATTCATTTTTGTATTGTTTGTTTGAACTTTCCCTGCAATTGATCAGCCTCTTATTGGCATATGTGCATCTTGTGCGTCACAAACATAAGCAGCGATTATGACTCAAGGCAATTCGCATAGGAAGCACATATGCCAATAAAAAACGAATCAATTACATTGCTAAATATCAGTGGGAAGATTCGAACAACCGATACAAAAATAGATTAAACTTCACCTGATTGCACAAGCTTGTAGCTATCAGGACTGATTATGTAAGTGGATAACGCGATGGTGTTTGAACCAAACGTTACGGGGTTAGAGTCTCGTAGTGAACATCAACTCTGTTATGCAGGTACATCCAACTGACGAGTCCCAAATAGATCGAAACTCGTGTCCTATATTTCACTGTTTGTCATCATCATCTCTGCTTATAATCCAGGACGCTTAGTTCTCGCGGTGAAAGCCAAATATTTAGACTGCTGGGCCTATACTGCGGCGAAACAGCTCTCCAGTATTTCTTGGTTCTTAATGGTTTTATCACTTAAGTTGTCTATGAGGTAGACAATTTAATCTTAATTGTTTTTGGTCCTTTCTATTTTTTTCATGTTAAATAGATTAAGTAATCCCAGTCTAAGATGCATGAACGCATTTTAGACTGAAAATAAATATGTTTTATGGTAAACATTTTCTTGGTGTAGCGATAAACCCTCATCGACTGAGGGAGTTAGGACGTATGTTAAGCATGCATAAAAACAGCATATTTCCGTGTGCAACAGCGGCTAACGTATGAGTATGTTGAATAAAGCGTTAACACTTACAGATCAAGACTTATCATCAGTTTATAAAGCCATTTACTGTTGATGTGATCTATATCGGTAGATCTAGACTTCTTTGTTGGAGCTCACGTAATGATCTTTATCGAAGTTTAGAGATGGTGAATAACGTAGTGAACAGCTGGTTAAAATGTTACAGTGGTTAAATTACTTATTTTCCTTTCTTGAGTTCGATGTAATTTGTTCTTTCAAACTGTTTTTTCCAAAGTTTAGTGTTTGAATTATCCGATTGATATTCATTATTGAATTTTGACCAACCTTTGTTGGTATATATACACCTTGTACCAGTTAATTTAATGTAGCCTTTTTGTCACAGGCTGTATAGAGCAGAACTGGATTCCGATGCTAGTTACAATTCATCTATTCTATATAAATCTATAGGATGAGTTGTCATTCTTTTATCATTATCATTATTTTCATATAGATCTTTTCGTATATATATATCGTAATCTTCTATCATTTATTTATAGATTTGATATACCAGAAAATAAAGATGAATTTTTCACTGCGGTTGAACGAGCTCTTGTTTTAGATCATATTCTGCGGCGTACCGGTTATAAATCAGAGGATTTAGTGAATACTGAAGATCTATATGAACCTAGCATTAGTAAGATTTATTGATATATATATATATATATATATATATATATATATATATATATATATACTACCATTTGATTCACATTAGTGATACAGTTAACTGTTGAAGTGGTCATTAAAATTGAATAAATTCAATCACCTTTCATCATTTTACGATTTCGATCTTCATTAGGGGAATCAATCGAAGTTTGTATAATTCAAATATCTACCGGACTGATGAAAACTTGCTGTTGTGCTATAAGGTTTCACCAATTTCACAAGTGTTGTTTTACTAGAGAAAACTCCACTGGTCACGGCTTCTCACTAGAACTCCGAGAATTACCTCTCGAAGCTAGTCACTAGCGATCACATGATAATTATCAGTTTGGGTTTATGGAGATCGTTGAGTGGCCAGTAGACTTCAACCATGTCGGATGTGACGCAGTTACTCACTGGAGAAAACGAAGAAAACTATTATTATAATATCACACCATGTATCGTGAAATGCTTCTTAGTATAGGAGATCTCTTTAGCAGTGCATATCCATGAACCTACCGTGATTGAATCTAGGATTTTTCGGGTGTTATGTCAATCACTTAACATTTAAACTATGAGGCTAGCATCAAAATTGAATGCTTACAAAATTATTTATTTCTGGAAGTTATTAAGTTCTGTATCAAATGCAATATGCTTTATTCTCAAATAAAGATTGATTAGAAAAATAATTTTTTTTCACTAAACAATCTGTTACATAAATGAATTGGGAAGTAAAGAAAAATACCAAAATGTCTGACATTTATATTTTTGATTTTGACTACAAGTTATACGAGGTTTTATACTGATCAAAACTGTTTCAACTGTATCTAACTCTAATAATCTTTGTCTATACTAATTAACACAAGACCAACGTTTAATGATGTTGAATTCACTAATCGGTGCAAATTAATTTCGTATACACTTGGTCTTAGTCTGGCTTTTTTTCTTAAAAAAAAAAGAATGTAAAATATTTAAAACACTTACCTACTGTACGGAATGAAATAGATAGATTAGTAAAAAGAACGAATACAGCGAAGAAATTTCTCTTCATTTAGTTTTACATCAGGGCTTTATATATATATATATATATATATATATATATATATACTCATTAAGTAGCTGGGTTACGTAATCATCATATGACGTCACAGTGACCATAAAATAATACTAAGTAACTAGATTAAATAATAAGTAATTACTTGAAAAAACTAAACAATTACTACATTACATAATATTTGAAGAAAACTAAGAAAACATATCGATGAAAGGCCAGTATTACAGTAGTTATGTAGGAATCAAGAGACGAATGTTTAGAATATGTAAAAATACAAATGTGGAAGAAATTAGAAAAATTCAGATGGGTTTTGTGAATATTATAGTAATTTCAATGGTTAAGATCATGAGTCAGTTGACTGGCTTCAAGAGGTATATCCTGGAGTTCTAGTGAGAAGCAGTGACCAGTGGAGTTCTGTTGTGAGATAGTAACTTACTGAAGACAATGGTGGATGTGTCGCTCGATTTCATGGATTAGTTGAAGTTAGAAATTGACACCGTTGGATGCCGGCTCAGTGGTCTAGTGGTTTTTTGATTCAATACAAACTACTGTTTAAATATTAAACACTTGGCATAGAACTAAAAGTTGGTTAAAAGTCAACTTCAATTGTTTGTTTGATGCAGCACATAGTTGGATAAGTATTCAGTTGCCACTTCTATAAATCCAATCTTAACTGAAAAAAATGTCATAAGTTGCGTTAAAGACAATAACCTTTGAGTATACCAAGATATCTGTAACCATTTGCCTGTTTGGTTGTTTGTTAGTGGTTAGGATATGTGTCCGTGAATCTGTAACGCATCTGCTTCTCAATGTTCAATATATGTACATCTAGCATTTTTCCGTTCATCTAATAAGTGAATGTTACATATAAGAGCATAGTTTCTACTGGGGATTTCATTTTAATCTGTAACTTTCAATTTCATTTGCTTTTTTCATTCCACAAGTTGGGAGGTGCTACAGTGCCCTGTTCATAGATAAATATATCTAAATAGTCTTAGGTGATTAAAATGAAGTTCACAGTGAAAATTACTTTCTTGTATCCAAGGCTAACAGATGAATTAGACAAAATGCCTAACAGTGCCAGATATGTCATAAGTTATTTTAACTATTTATACTTATCTGTTTTTCATTTCTGTTAAACACATAAATAGGTGATATAGTAACAAGTCATGACCTTGCAGATGAAAACTCGGGATCATCGAATCAAGCTAATTCATTGTATGTAATGGCGACAAAAAATCTAGGCATAACTAAACTGATTTCTGATGGAATTTTCTCAGCTGCTTATCCATTACATGAGGTAAAACAAAAGAATTATTTATTTAAAGAAAACTATTTTATAGGAAAAATATATTGTCATTATTATGATTATTCTTACTAATTATAACCGCTTTCAAGTTCTGTGTGTATGATGTAAAGACTTTCAAGTCACTAATATACCAATAGATTTTTAGTGGCAAGTCAGCTAGTTAAGTATTTAAGTTGAGATCATGAACTGAGCAATATTAGACTACCGTTAAAAACCTAGTAGCACTGGACAGCCGTTTCACTCTAGTATGGGACTCCTTATCGTTGCTCATTCACTACCTCGAACGCGGGACTCGAACCCAGGACCCTCGGTCTCGCCCGAAAAAAGTTGATCGGTCCATGATTTCAATTAAAACTCAACAATCTCTACAACCCTATACTAGTGAATACGTATTATTAGCCTTTTTACAACAAAGTTTTCATCAAGATTTTCAAAGAATAATGTTGTAAATGTTGAAGATAATTAGAAAAATTCTAGTCTTCAGTAAATATTTTATATGCTTTGATATCAGTAAAACAATTCAAAGTTATGTATTATAAACTGATAATTCTATGATATTCTATTTTTGAAATGAATAATTACTGTCTTGTACTGGAAATCATTTTTGGGTTGCATGAAACATTTAGGTTTCTTAATGTAAAACTTATTTTCATTTTTTGTTTGTTTTATGATGAAGTTAATGTTCCCGGAAAATTCTTTTTTTAATAAGTAGAATTAGATAGTTGCAGTGACTATAAATAAATGACAGTACGAAAACATTTTGCATAGGAGGTAGGTTTTATCTTACCCTTGACTATACCAGGGCATTTGGCGGTATAAATTGTTGAATTAGGCTATGCTAGAAAATGAAGACTACCAAGTTGGGGTCCTCTCGATTATTGTAATCAGTAGCTGATGATGCTGCTAGATAATTTAGTTTAGAATTGACCACAATGTCGTAGATGCGTTCACTTATTATCATCCTTTAGATCTCGAGTTTGAAAATTATCTTCCACTTTTTTATGTGGCTTTTTTCCTCATGTTTCCCACTATCACTGATATCGTCACTACTTTTTACATTCTAGTATTTATCTTGATAATTTCACACCACTGTTGTTCTAGCGTGATAATTAAATATATATATCTAGTTTTTCTTTTGATATAATTCCCTGACTAACTGTATGTGGATATACCTGATTTCCCGTCATACTGTTTATTTGTCGTATAGTGTTACTACTACTCGATTACTACTACTACCCAGTTGACTGAATTGAAGTAGATATAATGAGTTTTTAAATTGAGGCTACTGTAAACAAAAATCAAGTGTTTAAATCACTCAGCAACTATTCTATCACACTTTATGCTTTTCATAGTTCATAATAATGTAAGTGTAAAATTTTTTAATATGCTTTCTGTCAACATTGAACTATACACACTTATAAATTTTCTGTGCCATGAAATTAGCCAACTAAAAAGTTATCATTAATAACTTTACAACAAAAAACAATATCTCCCAGTTGTTATGGGGTAAGTAGATCTGTGTCTAAATTATATATGCTTATCTATTTATATGTTTGCTTATTTATCACATTATATCTTTTCATTAAATTAATATTTTTAATCTGTTCTTTTTTTTTTCATTTTTTCTCCTCTTCCTCCTCACAAAATGGTGTACACTATTTTGTTGTTTTAATAGTGTATATCATTTTCATAATAATTATATATACACATTATTTTTCATGATTACTTATATATGTTGTAATATCACAATTACACATTATCAAGGGCTATATGGAACATGATTATTGTAAATGATGTTTCAAACGAATTTGTTTTTCTTATTGGATGTATTTATTGTTTTATGAGTGTAATCACATTCAATTTGTGTAATTTTCCTTAAATAAAAAGTGTAATGATAAGTCATTGGAGATTATTTATATCATGAACTGACACAACATAGTGAACTGTCAAAACCATGAACTTGATATGTATCATCTGTTCCTAGTTTGAAATGGCTAAACAATACGTTCTTATTGAATAAACTATTGGACATTTATATCTTATGATTTATTTAATACGTAAAACCTGGTGCATCTGTGTACTTTTAATCGTATGTACCACACAGAATATAGAAGAAGAAATCAAGAAGGATAACAGAGTACATATAACCAAAATGGATTTTTCCAAGTAAAGGGAATTTCTCTCATTTTTATATACGGTGTAACTAAAAATTGTAATAGCATCGCCATGGCCTTCTACTTAGAATAATGTCTGATAATATATTAAGCCACTGAGTTGCATGATTTCTAGGATTCCAACCAGGAAGTCGTGTTGGACCGACAGATCCTTTATAGTTCTCTTTTATTCCACAGTTATCTGTCATAAACTGAGCACCTCTGCTTTCTACCACCCAACCCTAGTGCGGGGAAAAAATTCACAATGTAGATAACATTCGTAAAAACTACCCAAGTTGCCTAAATCAGTATACCAGTATAGCAGCACCAGTTGAGCTTTTGTGACTGCTCTCAAAGTCACATTGTTGAACGTCGGCATTTCTAACACGGTTTAGTCGTCAGATTCCAACAGTCCTTCGGACACAACGATAATTGGACCCTGAGATTTTCCAATTCGGCTAGGTTTCAAAAGCACAGGGCAATATTACCCTCACCAACACATTGTAAATTTGACCTTTTACAGCTGATTTAAAATCACGATTATACTAAAGGCGTTCCAGATTTTCACTAACCTCTCTGGTTTTCACTATAACTAGACTGACATCATCTGTCACATAATCACCAGCACTTGCACAATTACGCAGCTACGCTGACCTTGCGATTACTTCTAACAGCTCACTATAAAGTGTGAGTTAAGGTTCATGCTTCTGAAAGTCTCGTAGAAGTACTTTACTTTTCGACAACTTATAGTAATTTTCATACTTACGGATGTTTTAGAGTGATATCTTCATTTTACTGTGTAAAGATTTAGTAGTTTACATCTTCAATTTAATTGAAATGTTTTTGCACTGCGAAACTTAAGCAATCCCATCTCTAAGTTCCTGTGTCATCCACACTGGCTTGATTGATTCCAATAAATAATTTATCTAAGCTTAGTGATTTACACAAAAAAAATTATGGAAGGTGTTGGTTCATACATTCATATCTCTTTTGATTCTTTGTACATCATTCACCCTCTAACAAAATAGCTAAGGTTCATACATCCATACATAAGAACACATCGTTACTGGTTCACATTACATTCTTATTTCGAATTTTCTATGAAATATATTAATAAGATCGCTAAGCTAACCCAAATGACATTCAACTATTTAGTTCCTTGTACAGAAGTTATTCAATACTTATGCGCACTTTGCTGTCTGCTTTTTTCCTTAGCTTGTGTTTACGTATGATACAGTTATGATTTGTAGTAGCTCAGACTCCAACCAAGTAGTCTTCAAATTTCATTACTTCTTGCAATATTATCATGTTAACATTTATTCTTCACTGAATAGAAAACGATGTCATTTTATCTCGTCACTGTTGATCAAATTCTACCAACACCGACTGATGTAAGTTAGGATCTTTGAAGCAATATCAGTTCTCTGAAGATTCTAAGTTCATCTTTCTAGCGATTGTCTACTAGCATGAAACATAGTTCCAGAATACACTACTTCCAATCATAACATGAAGAAAAAGTATTCTTTTAGGGCTTAACAACACGAAGTTAGTTAACCTTCAACGAACTCTCTTAATGGTATAATTGTAAATGGCGACTTCAGACGAAGACCTCAAACATTATCATTCACCCATTAATGGCTCGGGTATTGATATTCTATGTATCGAACACTTTTTAACCTATTTTTCTTAGGTCATCCATGTTTTGTTTAGATTGCTTATCAGTTATATGCAAAATAATTGGTGTTATAACCTTATTTATGTTAGTATACTCACTCACTAACTGTTTGATATTTTGAAGCTTTGTTTATCTGTCTGTGTATGTGTGTATGTATAATTTGGTGTTTAGTTGTCGATCTTTATCTTATTTTGTACCATAATTTTATGTTTTCAATGAAAACTTATTTCATTTTAGTTTGAGATTATCCGTCATGTTCTCAGTGTTCAAGTATTATGTGTTATGTTTAGTACTGTTGGCCATTTTCTTGTTCATTTCGTAGGTGAGTACTATGTATTGTAGTTCCCATTGAAAGTTTCATTTAAATAGTCTGGAGTTATTCGTGACTATACGTTACAAACATGTCAGTGTAGACTATAGAATGAAAACAACGCAAATAAGTTGAAAGTTAGATTTTGAAATGAAATCTCTGATATGCAACAATAACTCAATTATTAAATGAAAAAACTGATTGAAAGTGTTTAGTGGCCCTATATCTGACTCCGTTTAAATAGTATTATGACTTATTGAAATATACCTATTGTCAATCCTCCTATATTATCATTGACTTTAATTGCGTCAGTGAATATGATAATTAGGTTTTGAATACGTATATTTCGTACACCCATTGACCTAGACAGATAATCAAAGGAATAAACTGAAGAGAAGAGAGCGAAGCGAAATGATGCACAGTGGAGAAGGAGTGTGAGCCGAATCTCTTTAACCAAGTGTGAATCGTCATTTATAGTCAGATCAAATTGAGGCGAAGAGAGACGAATAATTGACAAGGTCAAAACTGACTCAAGAAGAATGAATAAATTGGTCTGTCCGAAAGCTAGAATAAGCTATGTGGGCTTGCCATAGGGTTATCCACTGCAAGTGCTAAATATAACTCACAATACTTGAACATTGAAACTGTGATTGATAACCTCAGCCTTCAAGTTTATTTGCTACTTTTCAACCATTTGCTTACAAATAACGTATTCACTTCATGATTTTCATTTTTGTTATTCAGTTTATTGATTTATTGTATACGATTATTGCTTTTTTTTCCTTTTCAATGAAATTCTACGTACATATTGTTTACTTTCATGACGGATTCATTTCGATGAAAACCAAAGAATTAACTACTTTTATTTATTATATTATTGTTTTTCTTAAATGTCATTCTTTTTTATACAGAAATTGTGTTATTTTTTGAGATAAAGGTGATTGGGCACACTAATAGGGAACACATTTCAGTTTGTTTTTTACTACTTAAATTGATGGTTTTCATTCTTTAAAACTTCACAAATACTATTTTCACTTGATAGGACATGGAAGTAAAAGTTTTTTGCATAAAATTTTTAGATAATTTCAACTAATGGAACACTAAAATATAATCGACTGTATTGTATAGTTAATTCGTTTTAGGTTGGGAATTCATCGAAATTGAGCAAATGTGACTTTTGTATACAGGAGTAGAATCCAAGGCCTCAGAATTCAGCAAGGAGTACAGTGTGACTCAGTCAGTAATTTAAGATCCGACAAATAATATTCTAAGATTTTGATACATTTGTCCATCTATAACGACTCTCTCTCTCTCATGATTGAAGTCATTATCTTGACTTGTTACTGTAAGCTCTATAAGTTCATAACAAATTTACATTAGAAGCAAAGTTTGATAGTTGCTAGCAGTAGAATCCAGGACGCGCGTTTCGTCCTATTTGGGACTCGTCAGCTGGATGTACCTGTATCTTAGAATTTTTGTTCACTCTGGGACTCGAAACCAGTACCGTTCGCTTCAAATGCCATGGCGTTATCCACTTAGCTACTGAGTCCTGATAGCCACTTGCTTGTGCAATGGGGTGAAGTTTAATTCACTTGATATTGTTTTACTTGAATCTTCCCATTAATGTTTAGGACTGCAATTGATCAGTCTGTTATTGGCATATGTACATAATGTGCGTATTGCCTTAATTTACGAGCATTATAAGCAAAGACGGATAGTGGCTAGCAGTGGAATCCAGGATGCGCGTTTCGTCCTATTTGGGACTCAAGTAAAACAATATCAAGTGAATTAAATTTACATTAGGTTGTTATTACCGTATTTCACTGGACTATCCGTGGTGATATTTATAATTATTTTTTAGCCCCAATGTAAATATCAACACTGACCTGCAGGCTTATTCATTCGACAAGTCCCAAGCAGGACGAAATGCGTATATTGGACTGCAGCGCTAGCCATAATCTATTCATTCTAAAATTTCGCTAGGTCATTCTTATAATAAACTACCATATTTTAGGATGATTTGTTTAGTTAAGTTTTGGTCTTACAACTCTTCCTACTTTATTATTCTTTTTTACTTCTGTTGTCTTTAAGCTTGGCTAGTTATCACGTGGTTTATTCGCCAATCGAAATACGACTTATTCAATCTTATTACAGTGCTAAATCAATGACATTCGACCGGTTCGAGCAGCCTAACATTCTCATTGATCTTTTGTTCGTCTATCCCGTCTGGTCGAATCCAGAACTCTAATAACAACTTCCACTATGCGAATCATTTATTTCAAACATACTTGGTTTATGTACCAGCCAAACAGACCACATCACGCCTTAAATTAGGAAATAGCATTTATACAAGACCGAGCCAAGAAGTGCCAGTGAACAAGAGAGACTGTAATCAATAAACTGAACAGAACTTAGGAACAGCAAATCGTATAATAATGATCTATCAGTCAAAATGAAGCTTATAATAAGAGGAATATAGATATACACAATCTAGCTACTGAAAAGTTATACATGAAGAATATATATATATATATATATATATATATATATATATATATATATATATATATATATATATATAATATTATTCCATTAGTAGTTCTCAGAAGTTACCCGTAATTTAATTTTCACTAGGATATAACAACTTCAACAAGTCATTTTTCACTATTCAATTAGTTAAGTATTTATTCGCTAAAAAAAACTCATTTTAGTCTAGTTATCTGTTACATTACTTACAGCCTGCTGGTAAGACACTGGCGCCGACCGAATTCAATAATCGAATCTTACTTCAACGTTATTGGGCTTCATACAAAATGTTGTTCAAATGTCAACCTATCAGTTATATTCGGTAAGTGTTTGGACAATTTTTTGAATTGCAAAACAGGTCTTTACATTTTCAGGATATAATGTTTCTTGATATCATGAGAGTGTTGCTCCTCATTTTTAAATAATCCGTCAGTGATTTTCATTTTGATTGTGTTTTGCATTTGACAACAGTTTTCTTATGGATCCTAGAAATGCTTAATGACTGTTTTACTAGAATGAATGTCTTTTTGTCGTACACTTCTGTGTGCCATTGACTGTAAAATTCATTTGGGCAAGTAAGTAGGGCTTTTTTACTGAATATTAAACCGGCAACTCTAAATAATTCTATACCGAATTGTGATCATCGATATCTAGAAGTATTTTAGAGTGCAGCTTAAGTAACCGAATTTTGTTATAACTGTGAAACTGGACCTTAATTATTGGAGAAAGCCAGTTTTGATGGAGTTTTGTTCTCTGAGCTGGGTAGTTTGGTCATCGAGCTTTCATTGTTCCACCTGAGCTACAAATCTTTTCCACCGTCTCTAAAACAGGTTTACACGACATAGAAAAGAAGGTGAAAACAGATAGCATATGAAGATGTTATTCATCATCCAGTAGCCTGATAATAATTTATTGATCAAGTACACACATTTGTCTATAGATTTTAATATCATTTAATAATCAGTTAATTAGTGTCATACATAACCGGAACAGTTTGGAATAAGACTAAATTTTACACTGAAATTATGCAATTGAGTGTTATATTAAGTAAATGTCACACTAAATTAATAGAAGCGAACAATAACTGTCATACTAAATGAAAATATAATATGATACTCCTCAGAAGTGCACATCCATGATCGCGCATAATGAGATAAAATGTTGAGATTGGGATGAAATTTAATTCACAATACATCTAAAATAATTTCTGGTGAAGATATCATTTCTTTCATTTATATTAGGATTTCATTCAGAAAACTTCGTAATATTTTACTTATATAGATCTGTTGTTTAACTATAATCATATACATATCGTCATCTATGCGCATGAATCTTTGCTAAATATGCGAGGAAGGGATAAAACGAATGATCATATTTCAATTAATTGTGATATTCAATAAGACGTTCTTTTTGATTGAGATCATGAACCGATTGATGTTAGACCACCATTGAAAACCTGGAAGCACTGGACGGCCATTTCGTCCTATTGTGGGGTTCCTTAGCAGTGCGCATCCACGATCCCGCTGAAGGTCCTGGGTTCGAATCCCGCGAGCAGGATCGTGGATGCGCACTGCTAAGGAACCCCACAATAGGACGAAATGGCCGTCCAGTGCTTCCAGGTTTTCAATGGTGGTCTAACATCAATCGGTTCATGATCTCAATCAAAAAGAACGTCTTATTGAATATCACAATTAATTGAAATATGATCATTCGTTTTATCCCTTCCTCGCATATTTAGCAAAGATTCATGCGCATAGATGACGATATGTATATGATTATAGTTAAACAACAGATCTATATAAGTAAAATATTACGAAGTTTTCTGAATGAAATCCTAATATAAATGAAAGAAATGATATCTTCACCAGAAATTATTTTAGATGTATTGTGAATGTCAACAGTATCTATGTATCCATCGGTTAATAGTGTACATCAAAGTAATTCAACTAAATTGTTATTTATTGAAGCTTCTTCTAATCATATAATGACTGTTTAAACCTCTTGATTCTGTAAAGAACTGGATCTTAAGTTGCTTACTCTCTACTTTTCTGTGATACATTTTAATTCATAAACTAAGGATTTATTCGGTGATAAATATTGAAGTACTCTATAGAGTCGTCTTACTATGTTTATTATTTGAGAAGTAATCGATTACTCAGCGAGCCGTTTGAATCATTCAGGAGAAGTATATCCGTCAGACATTTCAGAAAGAATTGACACTTCGTAATATAACGTTATAAGAATAATAGACTTATTATAACTTAAATAGCGAACACACTTTAGCTTAACCACCATTGAGAACCTGGAAGCACTGAACAGCCGTTCTGTCCCAGCATGAGATTCCTCATCAGTGCTCATCCATAAACCTGTACCCAGGAATCGAACCAAAGTCCCTCAATCTCGTTAGTTAAGGCTTGTTCCCTAAACCACTGAGCCAGCATCCAATGGAACACACGTCTAGCTCCAATCGATCACAAGTTTTTAATGATAGTGAAGATAAGATTATTTAGTGATTCAGACTGAAAATTCTACATTATTTACAAATCCCAATATATTAATAATATTGTACTCACTGGTGACATGATGCAAATCTTGGAATTCTGGTGAGAAGCCGTGGATAATTTAATTCAACCACATTGGGAGGGAGAGTTATCCACTCCAAGGTTGGATAGCCTCGTAAATTGACTAAACTTATACAAGTACACTACTGGATCCCCGCTCAGTGTTAACGCGCGAGATCAAGGGTTTTGGGTTCGATTCCTGGGTACAAGTTTATGGATGGGCATTGATGAGGAATCTCATACTGAGACAGAACTGCCGATCAGTGCTTCCATGTTCTCAGTGGTGGTTTAGCTAAGATCTTTTCGTGACTTAAACCATTACAATTCTACAATCACCGCAAATACCGTTGTCCTAAAACTAGATTTATATTTCACACAATAATTTCGGCGCTTTTTTTCATTTTATAATCCAAATTAGACATTATTTCGGTGAAGCTGTGGCTTTTTATTTTGCTTGGCTTGGTTTCTACACAGCTTGGCTTTTACCAATCGCAATATTGGGAATTATGGTTTTTCTATTCGGTTTATTGGATTTAAAATCCGACTCGATTATGTAAGTTGTATGAATTATATATTATTGTTTTTAATACATTTTCCCAAAAAGATAATATTTTAACTGCTATAGTTTGGATATATATATCCATGCACTATCAAAATGTTTGTCTATTTATTGTTTGTTGATGTGGTGTTCATTGTGAATTTGTCGAAAAAACTCTTGTTTTTATTTTCTGAATCTTATTCACTGACAAAAAAATTTAACCAGTTTGTTTTCAATAAACCTATTTTCAACACACAATGTCCAGTCGAATCATGATACCCTTTGGTATCATTTTCACTTTTCATAGGTTTATCCTTTTTCCGGTTTGCCTATCATGGTTGTTCAAACTTGAATGAAATGGATTGTTGTTTACTGTTTTTTCTATCTAATATAATCTATCTTTCAGTGAATCAGTATCTCAACACTACTATTTGAAAATATAATCAATATAAATAATGACTTATGTACGAAATATATGTTCATGTATTCGCCTTTTCTGAAATTGCTTGTGTTGACTAACAACTAATTCACTAAGCTTCCAAAATTGAAGTAGGAAGAGGCGAATACAAACCTGTAACTCATTAGTTAATTTAATGCATTTATCACTTCCCTCTACTACTTAAATGATTGTTGACTACTGTTTGATAACTCTTTTTGGTCAATTACGAATCGTAAGTCGATGATGAGAGAATCGAAAATTATAAGTTATAAATATATCTTTAATAGCAATCTTCACTAGGACTCCTGACATCTAGTGAGATGAAACAAAAGCATACTAGTTATGATGTTCGGCTTTCAGTCATCAGGTATCAGGTTCGAGTCCAGCTCCACCTATTTCTGTTTGCACAATCACATAGTATCACAAACTGTTGTACATAGAATTTGATTCGAAGCCAAAACACATTAACACCTGAAAATTACTCGTTTATTGAACAAATCACCCCCCCCAAATGCCCCGGTACAGCCAAGAGTGAGGAGAGTTAGCTCTCCTGCTCGAAATACTCTCACAAGACCACATGTAAACAACCACTACAAGGAAAGTCCTACTCACTGTATTCTCACGGCGGTGGTGATGTTTACGAAATTGAGAGGACGAAAACCGAATATATGGCGCCTTGACTGATCTGATTGATGTGGAGGATTCACCTAGAAGAGTCGGAAAACCCTGATTCCAAACCGGTGGTACACATGAGCTCCAGGATCCTAAAGATGGCTTTCTAAGAAAATCACCTGCTTCGGTTTGAGCTTCCGGTCAGTTTACCAACCCTCACAGTAATCTAATGGTTTGTGAGGCGCATATATATTTGATGCCTCCTTGTACCAATGTTTATAATTTTAAATAGATAAAATAAATTATCGAACAAATTATAGGATAAAGCTGTTAAATATTCATTTTTTTATCAGAAACGTCTTTTCACTAATTAAAAGTCACTATCTTGTTTGAAAGTAATTTTTTTCAAAGAATTACAATATGAAAAGTAATCAATGAAATAGTGCATATGTTATCTGCACATTAATCAATAACTTGGTTTTCGATGTTTTCACGTAAATAGACGTCTGTGCAAGTATATATATATATATATATATATATATATATATATATATATATATATATATATATATATATCGAAGTACTGTGTATTGTAATTACAGAACAAATTAATTCATTATTTATTAGACCGTGGTTAGCTAACAGTGATTGTACCTTTTATTCAGCTCATAATAGTCAGAGGTTATTATTATCATTATTATTAATGGTTTTATCCAGTATTATATTTTCGGTAAAATAATGAATTCTCAGCACAAAGTATTTCAATAAGTTTCCCTTCCTTATTTTTTGATCGATCTTGATGATAAATATTGATTAATCGCCAGTTAGATGTTAGTCGTTCAGGAATCGACATCTGAATAATATTCATTGTTTTCAATATATATTGCCAGCCACCTCGATGTATTTGATTGTGCTTTTTTGAACTTTGTAGAGGTAAAGGTCGTAAACTTTTTATAAACCCACCTGAATAGGTTATGAGCTTAATAGGCATAATGATGTGTTAAAAAACAACCAAGAAACGCATAACTTGTTGAAATATCTAGATGACTGGAACTGGTGACGCATATATTCAAGCGGGTCATCGTGGTGTGATTTTATGTAAATTTCTAATTAAATTGCCGATAATGTTCAAATGTATAAACTTTTGAATAAATGTAAGCTTTCATTACTTAAGATTATATCCTGTCTGACGTAACATTTGTATTCTTCCTTATGAGGATATTTGAAGAAAGATGGTTATTGAATTTAAATGAAGAACCGATTGAAGTTGGATAATTATTGCGAAATTGAGTGCACTAGATAACCACTTCATCCTAATGCGGGGTTTCTCAGTAGTGCACATCCACGACCCTGCAAATGGGAGTCGAACCTTTGGTCTCACGAGGTAATCCTTAACCTCTAAACCACTGAGCCAGGATTCAATGGTAGCCGTTTAGTACATTCACGTTTTTATAGATTGTTCAACCTTGATTGGTTCACGCTTTCTTTGAAATTCAAAAATCTCCCTACACTAACAGATGTTAATATTCATAGTGTGCCTATTGACAGTTATTGTTTGCTGTCAAGTTTTGTAATGTCATGTAGTTTCATTAACTCAGCTATTAAATTATTAACAAGATGTGTTTATAGCTTTGTTTTAAACTTCAAGTCACTTGAAGCGCCGAATGCTCATTGTTCAATGTTCTGATGAAAAATAGCTCCTCTAATTCTTTTTAACAATCAGTGGTATTCTGTGAAGTAAGGTTGTTTATGTGGTTTTAATAAATTTTGTATTACATCACATTTAATGTTTAATATTTAAAGTTGTATTGGTTTCTAGAAGTATTTCAAATGTTTCATTTCACTTAACATGTAAATTCTAATCCATTAGTATCTGTTTTAATTCTGAAAGTTCGGGGAGCAGTAGTCGTAGCTTCCACGCAAGAATAAAATACTGTATGATGTCCAATACATTAATCCGTCTTTAATTATCAAACTCTATTGTTGAGCTTAGAAATCACTTTGTAATGAGTTGTAGCCACGTGTTTTTGTGGATAATTTCCATGTTGCTTAAAAAGACTATCTTTTGATGAAAGTCTGTCGGATTATAAATAAATGAAACACTATTTTAAGCAAATAATTAGGTCTGTTGAGGAATTATCTCTAAACAAAGGGAATATAGTTAAAAGTTTACATCTTAATCATAGAAATTTCTCTTTTGGTAAATGTCTGTATACCATACACTGTATCATTCATATTCATGTATATTTTTTGAGCGGTTAATTTTTTCTGCTATTACTACCACTACTACTGTTACTGCTTATACTACTCTGGGATTTGTCTTGATAATTTTTATCTTACTAAGCTAATTTAATGTAGGAGCTTGAACTAATGTATATATGCGCCAGGTTCTACGTTGCGAATTACTAACTAGCTGGTTTCAGTGAGTGAATATTCAACGCCTGATTAATCTTATCGGAAATGTTGTTGTATTGATGTCATTGATGAATATTTTCACTCGTAATATTTTTCTTTGTGTTGTTTCGTTCACAATCGTGATCAAACTTGTTTTGTGCACTTGTCAAGGTCAAAATATTTTATACATATTACTTTTTCTAAAAGAAAAACACTTTTATAAAAATGTCAACATAGTAGCACAAGAGTTAAACTATTTATTTATTTATTTATTGGCAATCTATGTGTCCTGATAAGTTTAATATGTGGTTATCAACTGGAATGATTGATTTAACCCCAACTATAGCCTGCTACCTATATATGGTCATTTGTTTTGTTTTCAAATACGAATTGCATACATGTACGTATATTTCTCTATTTATTACTACGAATTGAAAATATTTCACATTAGATGACTCAATTTGCATACACTAGACATAATATATAACATGTTAAACATAATTGAATAATCGTTTAATGTGTAGTTATTTTGTAAATTTATCTATATTCAATAATTCTGACTTTTGACTATTTACCTGAAGAAACTTTAGTGTAATGTTATACATTTGCAATAGGTTAGTTGTCCTTTTCAGATAGTCTTTTTTACATAGTGTACTTTTATTCCCGGATTAAAACAGATTTGACAAATATTTTAATCTTATCAACATTTGAAATGTCTATCCGAACAAATACACCTCGATTTATAAAACATGTGTTATAGCCATTAAATGAAGTCAAACTCAATAATAATTGATTTCGATAATATGAATTTACGAATGTCTTTTCATATTGAAGAGCTCAACAAACTCTATTTACCTATTTTAAACAGTTTTCAGTAAAACAAAAATGTTTTCTTGATCGTTAAATGTTTGTTTTTTAAATCATGGAAATCAAGCTTTCATCTCATATGGATACTATGACTCACAATGATGATTGTAAATTAAAGAAGCATTGTTCAAATTTTATTCAATATATTACAATTTTTAAATTCCAATCCACTTTACGTTGGTTCTCACCACTATAGTCATCCCATAGTTGGTATACTTCAAAGCTGAGTGTATTAAACTGTATTTAGTTAATCAGTTATATAAGTCGACTGAAACAAGACTTCTATTATCAGATTTCAAGTACTTCTCCCCTGTACTTCATTCACGTATGTTCATTAAGCACATCCGAATCATTGCCTTTAATTAATTCATATGTAATATTTTCAGTGATTCATTTTATTAGTCAAGACAGTTCTCTTTTTAATTGTATGCCTCCTACAACTCAGCTTGTTTTTTTGTTAATATCGATATTGTTTTCAAGTCATGAAGTATGTGATCTCGGTCACAATATATACATGTGTCCACTATGTAAATCATCGAAATGCAAATTTTGGACTCTGGACAGATCTTGTTTACGTACTAAGTTAATGCGATTAGTGGATCATGAAGGGACTGTCTTATTTGCTGTGGTTATGTCTTTGTGGGGTATGTCGGTTCTCTTTATAGCGTTTTCAAGAATTTTACACTTGTATAATAAAATTTATTTCACTTTTGTCTTGTTTCCTATATGAATAACAGTCTGGAATATTTGTCATCTAGATGATTAATACATTTCTGGATTTCTTGATCGACCAGCACTAAAGCACTTGACAAACATGGCATCGGTCACTACTCGGTGGTCACTTAACTGTCAATATCTCAGTCTTTCAGGAGGTAATTTACAGCTCGAATAGTTCAGTGGTAAGGTTTCATACTATGAAGCTGAGTAGTGACCGGGGTTCTGATTGAACAAAGAAACTAATTTCGGGTACGCTTTACTGACTAGTACCAACTAGCTATTGAATCAAAATCAAACAAAGTTACTTATCATCTACCTTCAAGTATGTAGCACAATTCTAAGCCTTTCGATTTCTTAGAATTGTTATGCCCTGTGGAAAACTATTTCTAAAACTGGAGACGGATAAAGATGTTTGGCGAAGAAGATATTTTGCTTACTGTGCATACTTTACAAACATATAGATGTTTTTTCTAGAAGAGTAGAACCAATATCGTAAATGAATATATAGAGGTGTAAGTAAAGGGTTTCTGTATCGTTAAGGTCGTTTCTCATCATGGTTAACTGGTATTCGTTTGCCTCTGTATGAGACCCATCGATCACCTTATCTGAAATTCTCTACTCAATTCTAGCCCTCTGTCATTGAATAGATGGATTCGTACATTTTCTGTACACTCTTTTATTTATTTATTTAAACTCATAAACATTGATACAAGGAGACACCAAATATATAAGCGCCTCATAGACCATTTGATTACTTTGAGGGTTGGTAAAGTGACCAGGAACTCAAACCGAAGCAGGTGATTTTCTTAGAAAGCCACTTACCCCACCCTTTAACATAGAGGCCTAATCCACAAAGCAGTGGAGCAACGTAAGGAGATGTAGTCCCATGGTAGCCAGTGAACAAGCATTGGTTCATACGCTATTTATTTCCTTAGGATTCTGGAGCCCATGTGTACCATTGGTTTGGAATCAGGGTTTTCCAACTCTCCTAGGTGAACCCTCCATATCCGTAGAATCCTGATTAATCCTGCTCTGCGCCTTGCCCAGCCACTTAAGTCCAGAACACCAATCCGAGCCTCTACGATATGAATCATATATTTCAAATATACTCGGTTTATATACCAATCAAACAGACTACAACGTACCATAAAATAAAAAATAACATTCGTACAAAATTTGACCAAAAGTGGCTGTGGATGTGGGAGGCGTTGACTAATAGACAGGGCATAATTCAAGAATGGCAAAGCGTATAATAATACTTCATAGGTCAAAATAAAGCTTATAATAAGAGGAACATGAATATGAGTAGTTTAGTTATTTAACAATTATACGATAAAAAATATACGTTTAGTATTGGTCCATAAACGGATCCCAAAGTTACCATTCATTATGCTTATCGGGACCTAACAAAATTGGAACAACAAATACCATTATATTCAATAGTAGTCGGTGGCTAGTCATTTGTGTAAGTTGTTGCTTATATCTTGCTTATGAAATAGTGAAATGATATGTCTTTCTCTTTGTATATTTGTAGCTTCGACACGTCAATAGCTTAGTCAATTTATCTCGACAAATACTCAGACTTATTTAAGTGGAAATATTTAGTTATACTTCATTATTTATATTCTTATTACTACTTAATAAATGGTAGAATGAATCATGTTTTCTTATATTTCTGTTATTTCTACATTTTTATGAAATAGCTGTAATATTTTTCGAAATGTGGAAACGTAAACAAGTCTCATTGGCTTATCGTTGGAATGTATACTCGCTGGAACCAATGGATCAACCGCCGAGACCAGAATTTATGGCATTACTTAGTAAAATGTGTCCTCGTAAAGTGAATCCTTTAACAGGAGTAAGTATAAATTTGTTATTATAATTATTTTTTATAATGCTGTTTAATCCTTTCCAGTTTGAGTTTACTTTGTTTTATTTTGAACTTTTAAACAAGTATCAGTTTTTATTCAATGTGCTATAGCATATTTCTGTTAATAATTGTGATTTCAAGCATGAAAGATGCATTGTATACGCTTTGAGTAGACAGAAAATGGCACATTACTTTCATACTTTTTGATGCTCGTTACCTTCTTGTAGAACATAAGCTGCCAACCAGGATTCTCCAACCGATTCTGTCGTGGGCTTTTCTTTCAAGTTGTTACTAAGTCTACTCCAGTTAGAGAGAAAATGATATACACACATAGTGAATTGTATTTATTGATTAATTTAAAATTATTCATGTTTTTTTATTAATGTACATAAAATTAAAGCCTAACTACAACCAATAGAACCTCTGGTCCCTAAATTTTCAACTATGTTTTAATTACCTGCAAATTATAACTAGGTGTTTAGGAATTTAATTCGACTACTATTGTGTGAAACCCTTCAAAAGAGTATGATTTCAGAGGGGGGAAGGACATTTTCATAACAAATTACTTAAGTATGTAGTTGAACATATATACTTTTGGGTGCTGATCCAGTGGTTTTAATAATTGAGTATTTATCTGAAGATCTGAATTTCTTAGGTACGATCTGCCTATTGGGTTCGTTAGTAAACATTCCTGAGGAACCCCCTGCTAGGACGAAATAGATGTTTAGTAAGTGCTTTCTCGTCTTCAATAACATTTTATTTATCATCAATTTGTGGGGAATATTATGCAGTTTTTTTTAATTTTTAAAAAATAGTTTGTGGAACCATTTATTCCATTTTGGCGACGTAAAGTACCAATTATCTTTCTCAGTTTCTCTACTGTTCTGTTAACTGTAAGTTCATTTATTCTCTTTGTATGTTATCTTGTTTTTTCTTCAATTGCTTTCAAAATCTTGAAATGATGAAATTGCATATCAGTGGTTTAACATACCTGTTAGATAAGTTTTACTCTAATTTTTTAATATATCCGTATAATGTATGTGTTTAGTCCTGCAACTGTAAGTCCTAGTTATGATTTGCTACAGTACATTTAAGATACATTATATATTTGTTGTTGAACTGTCACAAATATTATACTGCAAGTTTACGTTTCACTTAAAAAGTCAAACATATTGAGTGCTATCCCGTAGTAGCTGGTAAATATTAACCAACTGAATACAACAAGCATCTGCAAGAAATTTTAGAGGCTACAATATTTTTGAAACAGTTTTGAAGGGAACTCGTGATGAATTAGGTTTCTTATCCATAAAAGAACCGCAGTTATGTGGATATTACCATGTTTGGAATTATATAAACCACTTAAATCGCACTAATTCATTCAACGATTGGTGTCCATATACATGATACTGACTTTCTATCACTGAAATGTGAAATTCTTCTCCAAGATTGACAATATCCTGTTCTCTTCGTTTATCTTTTGTTATTACTTGTTGAAAGTAGTGAGAAATATTCGTGTTTATAGATAAGTGCTTCTAGTATTGTGATTAACGAAATCAATATTTTATGTAATAATTAAAATGGTCAAAACTGTTCAAGATGAAGCTTAAATAGGCGATACGTTTGTTGCATGAAACGATTGATGTTTGACCACCATTGAAAACCTGGAAGCACTGGACGGTCGTTTCGTCCTATTAAGAGACTCTTCAGCAGTGCACATCAACGATCCCACCCTTGGGACTCGAATTCAGGGCCTTCGGTCTCGCACAGAAACCCTTAACCTCTAGACCATTGAGCCGGCATCCAGAGGTGTTAATGTCTAACTTCAACCAATCCACGAAATTGCGCGACCATCTTCCATTGTACTGAGGTAGATACCTGTCCCTACCCGATACAGATTAGCTCTACCGGTCACGGTTTCTCACTAGAAATCCGAGAATCCTCTCACGAAGCTAGTCATTACTCAGCACATTGTAATTATCAGTATGGGGTTGTGGAGATTATTAAAATTTTATTAAAATCATGAACCGATTGATTTTGGACCACCATTGAAAACCTGGAAGCAGTGGATGTCCGTTTCGTCCTATTGTAGGATACACACTTCTGAGTAATCCCGCAACATCAATCGGTTCATGATTTCAATCAATATCTTAATAATCTCCAAAACCCTATACTGATAATTATGTTGTTATTTATGCATGAAATATTCATACATGAGTTTCATTGAAATAAAATACAATTTTGTACACTTCTAACTAACTATTTTCATATTCATATTCAATTTACCAATAAAAGTATTTTGGTCAAGTTTTTTCTTGTTTTTTTTTTAAAATAATAATAACAACAATATTTCGACCAATATTATTAGGCTTCTAATCATCTAGTAATTCATTATATAACTTTTATTATATTGATTAAACATTTTTTCGTTAATGTTTTTCTTATTTTTCTCATGTCAGAATGTGTTTACATATTGATTTCTTACTTCTTGTTCTTTTTAAATATTATTAAGGAACATTTGAGACTGATAATACACATATATATAGTTTTGTTATATCCCAATGAATAGAAAATTGTATTTTTGACGTTTCCGTGATCCTAACCGAAATCGATAATTGATGAACTCTAAAGAAATGGTCTACATTCAGTTACGAAATGTCAGAAATACAATTTTCTACTCATTTAGACATGACATAAACTACATAGATTTATTATTAACTTTTAACTCAATACTCAGTTTATTTGAAACTATCAAATTCAACCTTGGCATATGCACTGAATTCCACGTTAGTTATGACTGACTGATTGAGATAGTTATTTTAAACAATGATTTAGATATATATTACTTGTTTTTCTTTCAAGAAATATTTTTGAGGTCTTTTTGAAATGGTAAAAAGTTGATGATTTTGCTCAGTTAATGATTATAAATTCATGCTATTATCTCACTTTTTATTGTGTATGTATATGCGTACTTTTTGTTTCACAGGTGATGCTCACATTAGCTTTTCTTGTTGGTGTGGTTTTGTACAAATTAGTGATCAAAGCAATTCTGTACCGTCATCATAATCCAATGGTACAAAGTACCTCTGGTATGATTGCTACTATGACTGGATCTTTTGTTAATTTAGTGACAATATTCTTTTTAAAACTAGTAAGTTTAATTAAATCGCTTTTTGTATTCATCTATTATAAAATTTGTACATGTTGAAAAAGTATGATATGAGAGTCTGTGGATAATTATCATCTTGCGTAGACAATTGTTTATAAATATTTGTACTTTATTGATGATGGTTGTAGTAGTTCAAGAAATTTCAGCTCCGTACAATAGAACTGTTTTGACGTTCGTATTGAAGATTTTGACTTTGACAGTTATTTTGAGTCTCATATGTTCTTCAACTGTAAAAATGATGCCCTTGCTTTCGAAATCGTTACCTTTACATCTACGTCAGACCCTCCTTGTTCATCGATGATGCTTCCTATGTTCGTGAAAGTGTCCACCACTTTGAGAACTCCATCAAGTGTGACTTGGTTGGTGTGCTTCATGTTGTATTTGAGGATCTCACTCCTTTCTTTGTGTGTGCTGAAGCCAACTGTTGCAGATCCCACTGCTACACTAGGTTTCTTCATCTGCATTTGTTGCTATGTATGGGATAGAAGAGCTAGGTCATCTTCGAAGTCCAAATCGTCTTGTTGCGTCCAAGCTAAAAGAACAACCATATGTATGTATTTACGTATGATAGGAGCATATCGAAATTCGTTCGGGCAATTAAAATTACCTTCTGTAATCTTTTCATTAGCTTAATGGATTTTGTATGCCACTGAGAGTAGTACATTAAAATTAAGTCGAACTACAACATACAACATTGATAAATACACAAAAGGTGACAATTCAATAATTCGTGGAATATTTTAATTTATTGTCGAAAACTTTTATTTTCAGTAGCGTTCTTATGAAGTTTATGGTGGTAAATTTTTCATTATAGATAAACTTCGACTCATTAGCTTTTTACTAAGAGTGAGTGGATAAATTGGAGCTCAATATTTCGGACCGTAGGGTCGATGCTAACAGCAGTTAGTTTTCTGCTCCAAATTTCGATTCGTACTGTAACATGGTCTGTATCACATTAGTGAACACTTTACTGTGCTGTGAGACGAATTGACAATAATCATTCAGTTATTTTTTCTATTGTAGACTTAAGTTCACTAAAATTGTCTATAAAGAGTATTTTTTGAAAGTAGCTGGTTGTTGGTAGTCAGTAGGAAACTCTACTGGACTTGCTAGTTGACAACTGTCAGTAAGGTGTATCTTGAATCTTGAGAAAGCTGATACTCCTTGGTAAGAGTAAAATTGTAGGTATGCCTTGTTAATGAGTACCTACAATCGTAAAACCTTGGTCGAGTAGTGTTGATTACTTCCAGCTACCATATTTCTTTTGAACAGAGATGAAAACATACTCCAGATACTGTTAGTTTTAAGACATCTACAAAAATTAACACAAATTGTTTTGAAATTTGTTTCCCAGCTTTGATTAATGTTAAAATATTTCATAAAACAATACCTAGTTTTATTTTTCATTGAGATCATGGATTAATCAATGCTAAACCACCGTTGGAAACTCCGGAGCACTGGACGGCCGTTTCGTCTCATCATGATCATTGTCAGTGCACATCCGCGATCCCATGCGCGGTTACTGAACCCAACACTTTCGGTCTCATATGCGAACGCTTAATCTCTACACCACTGAGCCAGAGTCTATCTTCAATCATTTTCCATTGTCTTTGGCGGTTAACTGCCTCACATCCGATACGGTTGGACTCCGCTAGTCATGGCTTCTCACAAGAACTCCATGAATTGCCTGTACTGATAGTCTTTAGTGATTTTAATAATTCATCCTATTTTTAATTTTTCAGATTTATGATCGTATGGCCATTAAATTGACTGATGTTGAACATCATCGTACACAAGTGGAATATGATAATAGTTTAACGCTAAAATTATACCTATTACAATTTGTCAATTATTATTCGTCAATATTTTATATTGCATTTATACAAGGTCCAACTTCAGCTGTTCCTGGTAGTGATCATATATTAATTCAGTCAACTGGTGTGAGTATTACATATTATTTTCTATTTATAAGATTATATGTATATTTTTGTGAATTAAATTATTTATTATAAGTGGACTATGAAGTATTTAATGTCTTCTCAGTTTTCCTTCCATTTCCATTATTCTTTCGTATATATTTTTATCCTGTTTTCTTTTTACAAATTATATCTCCAATTTTTAATCTTTCTCATTGTCACTGCGATTTGGGCTAATACATATGATATGTCTTGTTGTTTTGATCGCTACTTTTTATGTCCGGTCGCCGCTGATTGTTGTGTTGGAAGCACTAATCACTTATACTCGGAACGAGGGACCTCCGCAATTCCCACAACGCGAAATTAAAAATACAAAGATTGGTATAAGTGAAGAATTATTAACCCCAAAACACGACGACGACGACCCTAACCGAAAATACACTCAATTATATATTGATTGTACACACACTTTGATTAATAATTAGGATGAAATCAGATATATGAAAAATACTCAGTTATAACAAATCACATACTGAGCATAGTTCATGTCAATGGAATACAAGAATATCGTATATTATAAAGGATAAAGTATCATACGACACAATGAAATAAATACTACATTGAGTAATCATCACATTGAATCAGAAAGGAAGTAACGTTGAAAAAACCTCATAATGAGTAAATCAATCGAATTTTGACTTTTTTTTCCATCATATCAACATACTTATGCCAGGTCCTACGTTGGTAACAACTGATTGACTAGAAGTCAGTAATCGAAATTGACGCCATATATAAATATATACATTTCATAGTCATTTTGAGTTCTTATTTGGAATAAATAAACTATGTATAGATTAATTCACTTCATATTATTTGGATAACGCGACGGCGTTTGGAGTGGACGGTACTGAGTTTGAGTCTTGGGGTGGACACCAACACTGGGATGCACATATATTCAACTGACGAGTTCCGAATAGAATGAAACGCGCATCCAGAATTTCACTGCTAGCCATCATCCATCTTTGTTCATATAATTTATTGGTTTACATATACAAACTAGAGATTGAACACATAACAATTTACACCTTCTTGTGTTAAATATTCAGAGGATTTCTGAACTACCTATCAATAGTGAATAACTCTTTAGATCGAAGCTTAGCTACTGTTATAACATCAGATTTTACTGATCATTCGTACACCCGGTTATTGACACGTGATTAGATGATTCAGGGTTTGATCATACCGGACTTCTCGTTAAATGATCTCAATAACTACACATCTTCAGTAATATCATTTTATGATCATTCATTCTCTACAATCCTTCTTGAAGATAGCTTCTTTTTCTTAGTTCGTTTACTGATCCCAAGTACAGATTTCTATCCCCAATTGTGTGTACGTGTGCCAGCTAGTATAACTACTGAATCATGTGCAGATAGAAGTTCGAATGTGTAATACAGGAGTTGTAAACCATTTTGGCATTGTTAACGTCTTTCATATTGATGTTATTATTTATTCATATAATTTATTGTTAAGTTAAGGTATTGTTAAATTTTTCACCTACGTTGATATCTCAGATTATGTTGCTTATTAGAATTTCGGTGTATTTCAAATTTTATTGTTCGAAGAAAAGAGATCATATTTTCACATAACTATATTCTATGTGTACTTAAACAAGAAAAAAAACAGAGATAATGAGCGATCGTTATCACTAATTACCCATTATAAATTATTTTAATTAAAATCTTAACTTTTCATATGAATAATGAATAAGAATAACCTTCTTAAATACCTGTCTATATTTGGTTACGGTTTAAAAAATTTTCCATACAAAATATGTAATATTACAACAAATTCCTGTCTAATATTCATCTAACTTGTGAATATACATATATCACATCTAGTGGCAATTTTTCATACGACCATATATGACTATATAATTTTATATAGATACCGATCCTTTACGCTAGTCACATTTTTACTGACCAAAGAACTTCCACATCCCACAATTTCCAAACATACATATTATAAAATTTATCTTAACTCAGCCTTCACGATTGATTGATCACTGGGTGGTTAACAAGGTCATGTTTGTCAGTTCATTCTTAGTGCAGATCGAATGTTATCGACCAAGTTGCGATGTGGCCACTAGTCTAGGTGACTCGACATTGCATGCACTATATTGGGATAAGATCGTGGTTGGAGGTAGTCAACAGGAAACCCTGGACCGGGGTTTCGTGCTATTTGGAACTCGTCAGCAATGTGTACCTGTAATCTTGAGGGAACTGATGCTCCCTGACAACTCTGACTGTGAAGCCGGGTGACACGGGATCAAATCCATCAGGAAGCATCAGTTCCCTCAAGATTACAGGTACACCTTGCTGACAAATGCCGAATAGCACGAAACCCGGGTTCGTGGTTTCCTGTTGACTATCTCCAACCACCATCTTAACTCATCCTCTATGGTTTTGTATGTTATTCGTTTAGGCTGATAATTAAACTCTTTGAAGCCTCAGTCGTTTTAAAATTCAACTCAGTAATCTGTTCAGGAATGACTTTTTATTGTTATCAAACTGATCACTGTTATATGGATTCGAATTTCATATCCAGACTAATGAGATTTACAATGATTTTTCTTACCATATTTGCCTTCTTTGTGTTCGCGTTAATCTATTCCGGCCTTCATTTCTCATAATAATGTCTTAAATCATTGTTATCAAATTGTTCGAATTGTTAGCGATGTGTAGTCCCCAAATACAGCTTGCTAAAAAGCAGATTAGTATTGATTAATTTTATTGAAACCACTGACTGATCGTCACTTGATTAAAGTTGCGATTGTACACGATTGTATCTCCGCTAAGTGGTTGAGTGGTCGTGCTCGATACTCGATGTCTTGAACTTGATCCCCGGTTTTGGTGGCTTTGATCTGCACTGCCAAGCAAGATGGAGCAGTCATTCAGCGCTTCCAGGTTCCCAATGGTTGTCTAGCTTAGATTAGTCTGTGATTTTAATGAAATTCAACAATCTCCACAATTTTGTATTGCTAAATATCGATTAAGATTAATTTTCGTTACATCAAATTATTCAGTTTGAACTCTGCTCATAGACTCTCAATACATTTTTACCATAATCTTTATTTAGAAAGAAATGCTCAATTTTTTGATTGAGATCATGAACCGGTTGATTTTAGACCAACATTGAAAACCTGGAAGCACTGGACGGCCGTTTCGTCCTATTTGGAGACTCCTCAGAAATGCACATCCATGATCCTGCTCGCGGGATTCGAACCCAGGGCCTTCAGTCTCACGCGCAAACGCTTAATCTTCCGGACCACTGAGCCGGTATCCAACGGTGCCCTGAAGTTAACTTACGATTACAAACATATTTGAATTGTTTCTTAATGATGAGTTGTTACAAATCAATCATTGACACTTAAGAATTTTAGATTTTAACAGCTTAGTGTTACTGGCATATAGAATGAATTAAATCATGCTCCATGCAGGATTGTTTCGAGGCACTCAGATCACCGCAAGCAAATACTTGGAGAGGACTAAAATTTTATTGTATAAGAAGTATAAATATACTGTTATCCATATTTTGATTCCTACTTCCATTCAACTCTGTTTATTTGTAAAATAATTACGTTCCTGTTCAACCTCGTTCTGATTTGGGGGCTTGTTGAATGAAGTAACCTCTCCGAATAATATTAAGCAATAGAAATAGCTGTGTTCTAATAAGAGTTCATAACACTTGTATTAACTCATGATTTCAACACAGTTACTTGTTTCTTTCAAACTCGTTGTAAGAATTTGAACAGAAGTCTCATGTTTCTTACTTATGTTCCATTACATAATTGTCCATGTACATATTCGTTGATATCTATAAGTCGAACAATCTTTAGCATTTACGTTGACTCTAACTGATAACTAAAAACTGCTTAAACTGATTAGGTAAATAATCTCTTCGATTCTATTTATAGATCCTAATAAGCTTGACAGTCCTGAATTTATGGTAGAAATTACAAATTTGGCGATCCCTACGACTCTGTACTATAATAATAATAATAATAATAATAATAATAGTAATAATAAACATATGCTCACTACTGACTAGACTTGAGCGGTATCTCTTGAGATCCTATGGAGTTTTACCATATTGGGCGAATGACAGTTATTAATAATAGTGGTGTAATACCACAAATTGACTGAAGTTAGAAAGTTAGACCACAAAATGCCAACCTAGCATTGTCAAGGTTAAGGACTCTCTGCGAGGCCTAAAGGCCCCAAATTTAATCCCTGATTAGATCATGGATGAAAACTTCTGAGAAGTGGCATCTCAGGTCGATGTACCTGTCCAATGTTTTATTGTTTTCAGTGGTTATGATATTCACTGCAAAAATTTTATTCACCTCACGATAATATATTGTAAATTATCCTTGAAAATCTGTTTCATGTTCAAATTAACCAAACTTAAAAAAACAAAAGGGCTAACTGAAAATACCCCATATTTTTACATTAATCGATAGACCTTGGTTAATTATGTGGCATAAATACCACAATTACTAGTTGAATTAATGAACCAATATGTTCTCACTCACATCACTTAACAATGTATGCTTAGACATCTCAGACTCCAAGAGTTTCCTAATGGTTTATATGCTGTTCATTGTTTGTAGGCTTTTAATGGAGTCACGGTTTATTTTTAATTGTCTTTAACTAAGCAAATGAATTCTGGAGTTCTATTTTAATAAAACGTGAATTGTACATAATAACATGATTTCTTCATGAATATGGTTTTGTCTGTGCTTATTTTTGCTATGTACTTGCATTTCTATTATCCGTTTTCTTTTTAAACAGTGTGATCAAGGTGATTGTCTTTTCGAATTATTCATACAACTAGTTATAATTATGGTTGGTAAACAAATAATTGGTTTTATTCAAGAATCTTTAATGCCGTAAGTTGTTTAAACAATTTTCTATCCATTTTATGGTTGATATCACTAATCAGCTATATTTAGACAGTCACTGAAAACCATGAAACAATGGATAGCCGTTTCGTCTTAGTATGGGACTCCTCAGCAGTATGAACCGCTTACCCTATTGGGGTTGGGAACCATGTTCTTCAAATTCCGTAGTGAGCGCTTGACGTTTAACCACTAAACTCCATCGGTATGTCACTGAGGTCAGTCTGTGATGTCCATTACAAGTGTAACTATTTACACAAACTCATTAAACTAATTACTATCCATTATTAATAAGTATGTGTCCTGTATGGAGTCGTAGATGTACATTTTTGTCCATTTTTCTCTAGTCTGCAGTTGCTTTTCAAGTTTTTATTGTAAAAACCCCACTGTACTGAACACTTAGAACCAAGTGATAAATTTTTATTATGAATCTTGTCTGGTGTGATGTTTTCTGATTTAAACACATATCATGACTTTGATTTTCAACAGACAAGTGAAATGTAAAATGGTGAGGTAATAGTAGATGGATTTTCCGAATGTGATAGAATAGCAATGCTAAATCATTATGAGTAGTATATATTTTATAGCGATTGGACTACCATAACAAGTTCTTTGTAATCTGATAAACATAGAAAAAAAAACACGAAAACTATTAGATTTTTTTCAAATTTCTGTTTCGTAAGAATCAATTAATGATATTATGGCATGTGATTAATAGTGAAATCTAGGACGTTTCGTTCTATTTGAGATTCGTCAGCTGGATTTACCGCATAGAATATACATGTGTCAATAAAGACTGATCGTTTTCAGTCCTGAATGTTAACTATTGAAAATTACAAATATTTACATATTTATTATTATTAATGGGTTTATTCACTATTATATTTTCGGCACAATAATGAATTTTCAGCACAAAGTATTTCGATAAGTTTCCTTTCCTTATTTCTTGATCAATCCTGATGATAAATATTGATTAATCGCCAGTTAGATGTTAGTCGTTCAGGAATCGACATCTGAATAATATTCATTGTTTTCAATATATATTGCCAGCCACCTCGATGTATTTGATTGTGCTTTTTTGAACTTTGTAGAGGTAAAGGTCGTAAACTTTTTATAAACCCACCTGAATAGGTTATGAGCTTAATAGGCATAATGATGTGTTAAAAAACAACCAAGAAACGCATAACTTGTTGAAATACCTAGATGACTGGAACGGGTGACTCATATATTCAAGCAGGCTACTAAGTTCACCATTACATTATCATGTTGCCTTTTTGTGCATATAATCATTTTTTCCTCCTCTTTTTTAATTTATTATATCATACTTTAATTAATAATTTCTTTAGTTTATCATTCATTTCTTGCCTAACTTTCATTTATTCCATTTTTAGTATTCTATGGAAATTATTTTTTAAATTTCGTTCAATGAAACGTTCATCTCATTATGCTAATAATATGAACAGTATAAATTATAATGAACAAAATTCAGTGACTACTTCCCTTTTACCAGCAAAATATCGTTCATTACGTGGACGAAATATTCTATGTCGTGCTGATTTTAATATGTTAGATCCTGGATCTAGACCATTGTTTAACGAATACTTAGAAATGAGTAAGTGATTGCGTTCTCTTTTTTTTATTATTTTCTCTACTTGATATTATTTTGGTGATAGATTGAATGCAATATTATTTATTTATTTGTCTTATTATGTCTGAGATTATATATCAAATAGATGGAAGCCGACTGATAGTGTCATGTATGATACACCTACCGGAGTTGAAAAACCCTGATTCCAAACTAATGATACACATGGGCTCCAGTATCCTGAGGGAACAAATGGCGTATGAACCTATTTTTGTCACCGGCTACCATGGGACTACATCTCCTAACGTTGCTGCACTGCCTTGTGGACTAGACCTCTAGGTTATAAAGGGTTAGGAAGTGGTCCCTTAAGAAAACTACCTGTTTTGGTTTTGGTCGCCCGGCTAGTATTCCAGCTCTTACACAAATCGAATGAAGAAGTGTTCCACATATATATTTGGTGCCTCCTTGTACCAATGTTTACGTGTTTAAATAAATAAATAATGTATTACACACTAATTGAAAACATTATAAATGGCCTTAACCACTGACCCTAATATTGCCTGGCTAATTTTACAATGCACTAAATTGTAAGTGTTCATTAAATAGTAACGACAAATCTAAGTTTTATTTAAACTTTGTTTCTATACGTGACACAATGAATAAATATAGAATTCATAAATTGACTTCTACAGACAATTTATGGAATTATAAAATACTCAGTATTAAGCTTATTTGTCTTGTTGAACTAGTAATCTCAGTCGGCTAGAATGCTTAACTTATATAACTTTACATTAAGACTGTACGATCCAATGAATGACTTTCTAACCTAGTGCGTCTTAACTTATTGACCAGGTCTTCTTGTTTTCTTAATCCAGTTTGAGGGATAAAATCTTACCCAGAATTATTATATATAATGGAGTGGACGAGAAAATTAACAAGGTAAAATATATCGTAACCAAACTGTCTCACTTGTCACTCCTACCAAGACAATTCATTTCTCAGAGTAGGCTATACTTGACATGAATATGTCGTGATAAAAAATTCCACGTCTAGTGATCAGTCTTTTGGAGTTGGAATATGTTCAGCATAACAGACTTATTTGGCTAAAGTTTGGTGTCTTCTCATTTACTTCACAGATATTTTTCATTTTTCCACATGTATTTTTGTGGTCAATTTTTTCTAGTGATTCAATATGGATTCATTACTATGTTTGTCCCTGCATTCCCACTTGCACCACTATTTGGTTTATTAAACAATTTGTTTGAGATTCGTGGTGATGCTAAAAAATTGATGAATCAATATCGTCGTCCAGTTCTTGAAAGAGTTCAAACAATTGGTAAGTGATATTGTTGTTTCTTATTGCTCGATTCAATACTTTTTGACCTTTCTTCTTCACAAATTTGTCACATACTATTAATTTATTGTCTCAACTTAGATAAATACATATGTAAATAGAATATACCCTTTGAGACAAAATAAGAAAGTTTGATTCAGCGAAGAGTTCTCTTTTCGGTGGATGTATTTTCAAAGTTGTGCAATCGTAACTACATACTTAATTTTCAAAGTGATAATAGTTGCAATAATAGTGATAATGAAATTCTGCTCAACATGATAACAATGAGGTAAATTAAATAAATGCATAAAAACGTTATTTTTATTAAGGAAACTAATAATGACGTTGGTAGTGCGAACTTGAATATTCATCAAGACAATTAAATAGATTATAATTAGGAAGAGAAAGCTTAGGGTGATAAGATAAAATGTCGAGATTGAGAAAAACTGTGATCAAAAATTATCTTGGAAACACGAACAAATCAGCTGACGGTAAAAGTTTTGGGGAGAAGATAGGAAGGCAGCAGATGGCTGAGATAATAAGACTGTGGTAGAAGAAGAGGCTGTACAAGTTTCCTTTTTACTCAAAATTCTGATTTTGTAAATGGTATAACAAGTGCTTCGGTCATGCTACGAAGGTAGGAGCTAACTACCTTTGACAGCTTTCTACTTAACTTGTAAAGGACTTTCAACACAGAGTCCATTTTGGTTGAGTGATCTGTGTTAACAAGCTTTTCGATTATAGAGCTTCTTATTGAGGCATTTCCGCCTCTTTTCAGCTAAACCAGGTAATGTTCTTGAATTCTTTTGGATAAAATGCTCATCAAACGACCTAGATGCCTGGCTCCCCATGAACAGGTACATTGAAAAATCCATATAGAAATTGGCCAAAAGCGATAGTTGTTGAACACTGGTTAGCTAGAGAACACTAATCGCAAAGTTTCTGTGGAGAACGTTCTGTTGAGTGAGTTGGAATTCTCCTCTTATAATGTGTGTAGCTATGTCACCTTTAAAATCGATGTTCATATAATTAGTTTTCTATTCTACGGAAGTTATTTGTGCTTTAAGAGGTTTAAGTTTTATGTTCTTATCAATAAATGCCTAAGGATACCCGTTTCTGATAAGTATCTTTTTCAATGAGGCTCAGTTCGTTATTTATGACCTCGGAACCATAAATTCTTCCTATCAGTGTGGCGAGGGATATGTCTCTGGATGTGTCTGAGTGGTTGTCTAGTGATCATATAACTTTAGTTTGTGTTTTAATGTGCGGTATCCGATTTTGATACTGATACACAATCTTCCTATACACGAGCCAAAACCGGGTTACTCGAGTGAAAAGATTGAGTGAGAAAGCTTATTGGCTAAACCAAACCTATATGTATGTGTAATCATATACATATATTCGAATATAAAGATACCAATGGTGTATGTTCAAACCCTAGGAAATGAAAGCCATTTCTTGACCAATCACATGCAACTATCATTTGGCGGATTTCCGATTGACCCAATATTTCAATATCTATATATTATTTATGAATAAATTAATAGTATCATAAAATTGTACTAAAATGTCAAATTGATTCAATTCATTTTCTTAGCAAATTGAAGTTTAGTAAATACACATTAATCATTATGATGAACCGATTAGGATAGCCACAATTGAAAGAAGACCTCATAAAACCCTTCGTATTGAAAATTAATATCAAAATAGACATTCTTCATTTGGTCCGTTATACAAATACAGAACATAATCACATAGCATTAGAATCAACATTCATTAAATGAAGACTTTTAATACTAACATAACAGGTTAGCTGTACACCAACAGTTGCATGATGGAAACTTATCTAGTTACTAATTATAGATAGAATGAAATATATTTGCGAGATTTTACTACTGACCATCACTAAACACTATCATTATACAATTTAGTGTCAATTTTAAAACGTTCATACTGTTTCACTGATAAATAAATAATGATCATTTAATTCTCTACGATACTTTATGATAGATTAATTAGCATATAAGTTAGTAATTGAATTAACATTTTATGTCTGTTTTATAGATGCATTTTAAATTATCGCCTTTTATTTTCCGTTCAGGTATATGGTTGTCGATCATTACCGTTCTCGCAAGCATTGCTATTCGAACTAATGTAAGTCTTTCTTTTCATACTTATCACTTTCCTTTTCTTCGCGTTTTTCACACGAGATTTAACTCAGAACCTTCAGTCCCCATACTGTGATCCGACAGTGTGTATTTTGGGTCATTAAGTATTATTACTGTCTTTAAACAATGACTTCACTGGCTTGTATATGTCTTACAAATATCATCTCAGCATCTTCAAAATCGAGCATTGGTTGGCGATGCAGAGACTGAATAGGAAAAGCGGAGAGATAGTCACTTAGCAATTTGATGCCGTAGTATGCACGAAGTTGTATAGGACTGATATTTCTTGGTCCATCACAACTCCCCAGTTGGAGTCTTAGAGACAGTTGATTAACGAATTGGAATTTGATCATTTGCAAGTAAATACGCTCGGGTATATCTTGATTAATATGGTGTTAATCGATTGGTAACATTCAATGATACAATGTGACCCTGTGATAGCTGGTCACAAAACTGAGTTATTGACGTAAGCCTTCAATTGAATAGCTGTTAGAAGATGTAACATCTCCCTAATAAAATAGTTTTTTCGTGCAGTAAAATTACTGATTGATAAGTGAACAAATGATCTTTTAGTTAACAAAGTCCACCACAAAACCTGCCGAATTAAAATATCTCATTCCGTCCAACAAACAGTATATCTAGAAATAGGTCATTACACACCAGTAACTATTTCTAAACGCAGGCAACTTTTTATTTTAAGTTCCATCTGAATAACTTTCCAGTAAATATCATTTCGATTATGTTATCATAATAGTTTGTAAAGAGTCTAACTTATTGTTAAGTGAAATGTAACTAGCAATGGAATCCAGGACACACGTTTCATCCTATTTGGGATTTGATCTGGATTCCATTACTAGCCACCATCCATCTCTGCTTATAATATTTATAACTTGAGGTAATATCAAGGTAATTCGCACAGGATGTACATATGTCCATAAGAAACTGATCAATTGCAGCCCCAAACATTAGAGGGAAGATTCAAACAAACAATACAAAATGAATGTAAGTATTTAACTGCTCATTAGAATTTTAAAAACTCCTATGGATGAAGTGATATTTTGTGTGGTTGAATAGACAAGTTATCATTAACGTCTTGCTTCTTTTTCTTCTTTGAATAAGTCTGTTAAACATGTTACAATGTGACTGTATACTGATTGATAAACATTGCTAAATTAACCATGTATTTTTTATTTCTATTCTATTTCCTTATTTCAATCTAGGCTTGTATTATTGCATTTACTACACAGTTTATTGACCGATGTGTATACCGTTATACTTATAGTCCAGATGGTACTATGAAGGGTTTTGTGAATTTCACTCTGTCCTATATGTCTACAACTCGTTTTGATGTTCCAACTAATGAAACTTATTGCAGGTATTATTAAATTTGAATGATAACTGTGTTATGTGTATATGTATCATTCTTCAAGGTGTATATACATTTCGAAAATATGGTTATCCAGTCATTCGAATGTGTTTCTGTTTGGTTTCATACCTCTGGTTGCAGTATATACTAATCTAATGTGTCTAATGCCAAACAATGTCGATTGACTTGCTTGAAAATAATTTATTGATTGCTTATAGAGGAATTTCGTGTATCGCGCCTCATAACAAACTCCATAGCATGTTCACTACTCATATTTAGTTTATTGAGATTCAAATATTGTATGACTTCACTTGTTACTTAGATTATCACTTCCTCAATCAACATTTTAACTCTTGTAATAATTTCAGATTAATCCGATTGATTGATTTGTCATCATGTATTTTGTACTATTTAGCTTAAATAAACATTGGAGCTGAGTGTGTGTAAGCTCGTTGGTACAAGAAATTGTCCTATTAATTATGATTACTTTGTTCTTCTTTCGATGTATAGCGAGTGTTTTAAAACTTTAAATCTAGGTTTAAACCTAGGTTTCGTGCTATTTGGCACTCGTCAGCAAGGTGTACCTGTAATCTTGAGAGGTTAGAAGCTTCCTGACGGATTCGATCTTGTGTCACCCAGCTTCACAGTCAGAGACGTTACCACTGAGCTATGAGGGTAGCGACTGATCTCCTGTAGGACTGAAATGTATTTACAATTTGTTGATCACTTGGTAGTGATCAGTATCATGTGTGAGGCACTTCTTAGTACAGATCGAATTCTACCAAGCAAGTTACGATGTGGTTACTAGTTTAGGTGAGTTGATATAAGAAAAAATGATCATGTCTTGGTAAGCTCACAAATTTTTTTCATAATTGTGATATTAACATCAGTCTAGTTCTATTCAGAAGGAATACATTCCTTGTATTTAACCTTTAGTCAATAATAAAATTTATTATTGATGAAAGTAAGTTTTTTCATGATAAAAATATTTTTTGAAATAGATGTTTCTTGTGTAAAAGTAAACATTTTCTGTTTAAATATTACTGTGTGTTTGTGTGGGTTTTTTTGTCGTTTTACACAAGATATGATTCTTATCGTTCACCCCCTTGGTCTTCAGAACCATATGTATTCACTTCAGTTTATTATCATGTGTTGGCAGCTAAATTCATTTTTGTTTTTGCTTTTGAAGTAAGTTAAACATTTCATTTTCTTGAATTAGATTCGCTTTTTTATATCCATTTAATGTAGGTTATTGCAACTTATATGTTGTATACACTTCTATATTTTTAATTGCATTTTCGATTTTTACGTTGATTTTGGCTGTGAATGTGTCTGATTTACGTTAAAACTTTGGATGTGTACTGTATAGAGTTTGTCGGCGATCATACGGCTTTGAACATACCAGTTCTCATTCGATCACCGATGTTAAACATCGTCAGAATCAGTCCATGTTTTTGTAGAAATGACTTAGTGGCATAGACTTTCAAACACTCAAGACTTAGGTTTGAGTACCACCATCCGGCTTCATCTTAGTCTCAAAGCTGAATAAACGAACCGGTACTTCGTGAGTTGCATCATCGACTGACCACTGAATGGACATATTCCTTTTTTAGTATGGATCAGAAAGTTAATCTAAGTAAAATTATTAGGCATATGATATCTAGTGACACTCGTGTTTAACATACATAATAGTAATTCTGTTATATAATTAAATTACCCTAACGGTACAAGTGTTCGATAGAATTTATTTGTAAATTATCCATATAATTTTTCTTAATCGATAAAAAGGTGTATAAGCCAAATACATTATATAAATAACAGTAATAAATAACAAAGAGATGAATTAATTTCATTGAGATCATGAATCAACCAATGTTAGACCACCATTGAAAACCTGGAAGCACCGAACGGCTGTTTCATTCTAGTATGGGACTCCTCAGCAGTGCTCATTCACGATCCCACACGCAGGATTCAAACTCAGGGTCATTAGTCTCGCGCGAACACTCAACCTCCAGATTATTTAATCGGAACCCAACAAAGTTAATTTGTAACTGCAATCAATTCACGATGCTGTGCGATCGTTTTCTATTGTCTTCGGTAGGTAACTACCACACACCCGACATGGTTAGACCCCAGTGGTCGCGGCTTCTCAAGAGAGCTCCGTGAATTACCTGTCGAATTTAGTCACTAGTGAGTACATGATGACTGGGATTACGAAACAATCTAACATTAATTGGTTCAATGAAACTCAACAATTTACACAACCTCTTACTAACAAGTTAATTCTTTAATACGTGAATTAGGTAATGTTATTCTTATGTCAAAAAAGATTCGAGAAAGGATAAACTTGCAGAATTGTTCTATGGAGAAATAATTTTTATCTTTTCACTGTATAGTTATTAGATGTTTTAATTATTGTTGTTTTATATTTTCCTGTTTGTAAGCTTTCGTTTGATTTAAAAACCGTTGTTATTTATGTCACTGTTCTGTATTTATCATTAATTAGTTATTTCCTTATTGCTACGTTTTTATATCTTATATGATTGAACTTCTTTAATTTCTTATTTGTGTTGCATTACGGTCAAGCATAAGTTTTTAAAATTATGGATTAATAGTGTACAACAGAGAATTCATTTACATAATATTTTCATTATTTAATTGAACTCCATTAGATCAAGTAGATCTCATGGATTATAAAGTATTGGGAATCTCTGGTTATCATTCACAGTCACTGGATAATTAGTCAAGAAAAAAAACCATTGACTAAATACAAATAGGAAGTTAAGTAAATAAGTTCAATAGTGAACTGCATAATACAATTAACTTCTATAACTGTCAGCTCTACCAAGTATATAGCTAGTTTATTGTTTTTGTAATTCATAATAATTATTACGAAGAGATCATACTTAACTTACTTACTTAGTTACTTACGCCTATCACCCATCATGAAGGATCATAGGACACCCAGAGATGTAAAATTATCCAAATACATAATTTTGTTAATTTACTTCAATAACCACAAGCACATTCTTATACTGATGCAATGACAAGGTATAATAACTAATGAGTATACCGAACAATCATTGAAAGTGTTATATCCCGACGAGAATAATAGATGGTAACTGTCGGGATCCATTTATGAACTAATATTATACGTATATTCTTATAGTATAACTATTGAGTAGCTAAATTATGTATGTCTATATTCCTCTTATTCTAAGCTTAATTTTGACTCATAGATCATTATTATACGATTTACTGCTCTTAAGTTATGTCCAGTTTATTAATAGCCAGGATGTTTGGGATGCGTTTCTTCCCCTCTAAATGCAAGTTGTTACTTCGGGACTGGCCTGCGTCAACATCTGAACTAAGGATAGGAAGTAAAATAATCGAACGCGTCGATAACTTCACTTGGAAGTCTGATCAGCCCGAATAAGTTAGTGTCTGACGAAATCTCAGCACGGATTCAAAAAGCTCGTTTGGCTTTTGCCAACATACGACACCTATAGAGAAGGCAAGATATCCATCTATCGATTAAGGTACAAGTATTCTGCTCGACAGTTCGTTCTGTTCTACTTTACAGTTGCGAAACGTGGCCATTAAGAGTAGAAGATACGCGGAAGTTACTAGTATTTGATCACAGATGCCTTAGAATTATTGCTCACATCTGCTGGGATCACCGGGTAAGTAATAGTGAGGTTAGACACATGGTATTAGGGAATGATGGTAAGTCAGTTGATGAAGTTATAAATCTTCATCAACTGAGATGGTTGGGCCACGTGTTACGTGTGCCTGAACACCGTTTACCACGACGCACAATCCTAACCGGTGTTGGGGATGGTTGGAAGTAAGCTAGGGGTGGCCAAACCAAAACGTAGCATCAGTCCTCGGAGTCATTAACTTCTAGTTTTAACCATGTTGGTAGATGTAGACTACTTGGTTGGGGTCCGTGTGACTATCGTAACCAATGGTTGGAAACTCTTGGTGACATGGCTCAGAATCGATCACAATGGTGTAGATGTATACACTCTTTCTCTTCCCTTAAACCGTGAGATCACAATTGCTTTATATTTTTATTTCTATGAACTAATCCCACGTTCACAGCCACTTTTTGGTTTGGTCTTGTACAAATGTTATTTCCTAATATATGATGTGATGTGGTCCGTTTCACATATAGACCAGGTATGTTTGAAATAAATGACTCGTCTAGTTGAAGCTGTTATTGGTGTTCTGGACTCGATTGGCTTTGCTATGAAGGAAAAGGACCGATAAGGACGCTAGGCCGCTCATACAGGTCGATACGTCATTGGTTTGGCACAGTGTTAGAATTGTATAAGTGGTATTCCGATTGGCGAGCTGAAAGTCACAACAGAAAGCCTCTGTATTCTTTATAATTGTTTGACTAATATCAAGTTTAATAAAACCCAGAAATCTTTATTTGTTTGACGTATAATGCATATATATATAGTATCAATCTCTATGACCATAATTATTAATTAATTATAATAGACTATAGCAACTATTCTAACTAATGTGATCATGGCAGCTGTACCGGATGTCCCTAAACGTGTCAGAAGGCAAATATTTCATGAAACCAATATTACAAATGCAATTATTTTAAATGCAGAAGTTGGCAATCAACAATACAATAATGCGATTACAAAAGATGTAAACTTTCAGAAAATTTTCATGTTAAAACAACAACATGAGAAACTTCAATCTAGTAATTGTAATATTAATAATGAAGTGATTGAGAACAACGATCAAGAAGGAAATATCGATGGAAATGAAACTTGTTCTCAATCGCTTGTCTATAAATATGTGAGTTTTGAAAGGCCACCTGTTACACTGGTAAGTATTTTCATTTTGGATAGTGTATTATTAGCCTATATTCTAACATATTTCTTATAATGGCTGAATTCATGAGTGAATATAAGCTAGACCACCAGTGAAAACCCGGAAGCATTAGACGGCCGTTTCGTTCTAGCGTAGGACTCCTCGACAGTGCTCATTCGCGATTCCGCACTCGGGACTCGAATCCATGAACTTTCGTCTCGCGCGAACACTCAACCTCTAGACCACTGAGCTTGCATCTGGTGGTATTACTCATCAATGAACGGTTGTATTAAAAGCTATTCAAATTGGAAGGCGATTCAGAATTATTATAGTTATGTATATGTGTAACACTAATTTATGAGTTTTAAACATGTATATACAGTCAGTTATTTTGAAAAGCGAATTGGATTTTACTGACAAAGAGTATATTTCTTTAATATTATTTAAGATATACATATTAGTATGACGCCATGATGAGAAACTGATTGAAAAGAAATATTTTCTTGCTCTATTTGTCTTTTTATTGGAAGTAATAACCGTTTAATTGAGCATAACCATATGTTTGCTCACAGTTAAGTATTGTAAGTGGAAAATTTATGTAACATTGCAAAAGCTTCCCTTTAATGACATCCTTTTCCATCGCATACGTTTTATTGTAATCACTCCTAGTTTTCTTTTTTCTAAAAGCAAATCATAGGGGAATTCTATTAGTTTCGCTCTAAGTTGACGATACTTTGTGATAAGTCGATACTATGATATGTGAAATCAATCGAAACTATGATAAGTATCGTTATTCATTTATCCTTTGGATAATAACGGTCCTATTACATCGCTAGCGTACATTAGTTTACGAATATTGGTCATCTGTTTCTAACTCAACGACACAGTGATAACAAATTGCTCTGTAGTTTAAAGGTCTTGAATTCCATTTGACATGAACAATAGTACTTTCTGCTAGAGAGTTTCAAACTAAGACATCAGACTATTGTTTGTCAAATTTAGATATTAGACATCTATCTGCAAGATTTGAAGAGGTGGATTGAAATCGCATTTATCCAGGGATTGTTATCAGTTAATTTCCCTACAAATCTTTTGCCTAAACACTAAGCATTTGTTCAGTAATGATTGACTTTGTGATTAGCTATAGTTGTAGCAAGGCATTGTGTCTGATGTTAGCAGTAAAGCAGTTAACTACTGTTATATCTAGAAATGGTTGATTTACTTGATATAACTCGTACAACTGAACACACGAACGCCCAAACCCTTCCAAGTCGCAAAGAGAAGACAGAAGACTAGTGAAAGGAATGTTATTCCAAACAGTGTCAATTATGGGTACAAATTGTCAGGTATTTATAGTTTTAGTAAGAATAAAAATCATCATTATAGTCCTCCAATCCGCATACAGGGGGTTATTAGCCTTGTCTAATCGGGAAGCTACACGTAGGGATTCTAGAATATCCTTCCTAACGGTGATTGGATGGAATATCTTCGGCTCCTTCTGAGCCTCTTATAGCTTCCTCGAGTTCACCCGTGGTCCGTCGTCACAACTACCACGCTACATCGTGAATTGACCATAGTTGGAAATGTAGACCACTATATGTATCTTCAGTGATCTAAATGGTAACGCGCTAACCGTAGGCTTTGAGGATCCTAAATTCTATTCTAAAGAGTGTTGTGGGTGTACGCATATTGCAGAGGAGTTCCATACTAAGACAAAATGACTGTTTACTGCTTCATATAAGTGATACTAATCCACAACAAAATTCCACTTCAACATTGTACACTATCATTCACTTCTTTAGGCATGAAATATTAGCACCTAAAATTCATTTGTAAACATGAAAATATCTCACCCTTTTACTTCTGTCCTATCCATTTTCTTTCTTTCTTTCTTTCTCCATTCCTAGTCAGCACAATCAATGCATCTTACTGTGCCTAATTTACATGATAATCGACCGTCTATTGGATTCGATAATTTAAGCAATCATAATAACAGTGATTTAATTTAAAAGCCAAACTTATATAATGTTTTTTCACAATGTTTATCCTATTTTTTGTTCAATATTGTCATTCTTTCATTTGAATTATAAATAGTTCAGTTTCTACTTCGCTCATTTATTTGTTTATCTTGCCTACTACATATTGTGTTATTATCATTATTATTATTATTACGTAGTTTGTTTTATTCTGTTTTGTTTTCTCTTTCTATTTAGTGATTTGTACATTATTGTTATTTTTTTCATATTTAACAAGTAATGAAGAAAAAAACATTTTTTTCTAGCCAATTCATTTGCTTGCTATTTGTACCGAATGAGAACAATCATATCTGATAATACATTATTGAATCACAGCAACGACATTTTCATTTCATAGAATGAAATATTCATTAGAAATACACCATTGTTTTAACAGTTAATGTTCTAACAGATTTTACTATTTAATGACTCATAATATATATATATATATATATATATATATATATATATATATATATATATATATATATACAATCAGTCAATTGAATAAGACGGATACATATATTCAACATCAATATTTTATCAATGAAAATACAGGGAATATTCAATGGCATAACGTGTTGTTGTTGTTATTGTTGTTATATTCTTCTTCAATGTAACAATTAACAAATTTATCATACAAATAAAGTAGATTTTTGTTCTTTTTCTCTGTTTTCTTCTCTTTTTTTCTTCTGGCTTTTGATAGATATATTTGTATTACATTCAATTATATATACTCCTTTTTCTAAGTAATACGACTAGAGATCACCTTTTTTCTTTTTTATGTAGTCTTTATATTTCTGTTTTGTGCTTATGTATTTGGTATGCGGTTATTGTATTTTTTTCTTCTTTGTCCTTCACACGATAATATACATTTTATTTTATTTATATTTTAGTGATTTCTCATATTTGTACTTACATAATAATCATGTTTAAGATGATTAAACTTTCTGCATCAAATGAAATATGAAAAATATATATATTTATTCCACTAGATATCAGTGAATTTCTTCCTCTTGTGTATACTTAGTCTGTGTTATAACTTTTATTCGGTTAATTATCATTTGTTACTTTGACACTATCCCAAACCAATGATGCGTTAACCAGTACAAGCAGCCTAGAGTCAACTGTTAGCCCTTATTGGTTCTTTTCGCCCAACCCTGTCTGTTTGAGTCCAGAACATTAATATCAGCTTCCACTGTTGGAATCATATATTTTCAGACATACTTGGTTTATAGGTTGACATTAATTGCACGGCCATTGTGACTCCCTACCACCCATTGATTAGAAATTGTGGGGTGTGTTAAAAAATTTAGAAATTGGTGATTGGTGTACTTATTTTTCAAATGTGTGCTCAAGTAATAATGAACAAACATTTTGTCACCTGTAATAATTTTTTAATTGGTCGTAAACTGATCATCTTTTTAATCTGATTAGTTTAAATCGAAATATCATCAAGTGCTTTGATTTGATGTGAGAATTTGCATTTTTACACTTGAAATTTATTTTGAACAAATAATTCCTTTTTTGTTTCATCCGAGTCTTGATAAAAACAATTTTAACTTCTGAAGAAAAATACACTAACTCCATTTCACTACCCTGCTATACTTCTGTCAGTGAATGTATATCGGGACAAAGATTTTTTCGATCAAGTCGAAATGGAATTGAAGTCATTAGTTATCGTGATAAAATTAATTATATGTATCTCATTAAAAGAAAATTTGAGAAAAACTGATAACTGATTTTAATATTTAATAATAGAGAATTACTGAAGTAGAAAGGTAATCAAATGTTTGATATACAATTATTATCACCTAAGTATTTCCATTAGTTTTTTTATGTTAATTAAAAAAACATATCAATAAATCATCATGATAAAATAATGATTAGAGCATGTATAAATCACGCGAACCGTAATGGGTTGGTAAATCAAGTCAGTTTTACGCTATCTCAAAGAAGTAGTAATTTCTCAGAAAGAGACAATTAATATTTATGATTGGGTTATGTTGTAAATAGTAGTTCTTGGTACGAAATAGTTGTTTACTTTCGCTTTATAAACAGTTTTGCTAATAAAATGTTAGATTGTAATAGGGTTATTTTGCTAATATACGATTTCCGATCTCTGTGGAAATGAGAATCTCTCACCACATAATTGCAGTACGTAGATCTTTCATAAGTTCTGATGACGCACTTTAACGCTTCAATTGATTGGAATGTTACGAGATACAATGTATTCAAGAATACGTTCTCCGTTTCTGTGACAACCTGAGAAACGATAGACCTTGTACTTTGTACGTTATTCCATATTTTGAATAAAATGTACTCTGTCGACAAGTACTGACATTTTATAACAATTTTAAGACATAACTGACCAATTATAACGAATTTAAAAATAGCCATTTAATTGGACGAAACGGAATGAAAAAATTTGGAAGATCGGGTGAAAAAGAAATTACAAAATTAACCGGCTGTTTCATGATATTCCACAGTCACAGTGGAGCGTGGGATTACCTGTTCAGACAAACAAAGCCTCTCAACATCCAATATAAGATGATAGGCAATATAAAGCCTATATAAAATATGGAAATGAATGAATACTTTGACTCTATTGTTTTGGCATATGCTTAATTGTTTGAGGTTAACTCTTCACCAATCAACCTAAGCTGTTACATTAGCTTCCGCCTAGAATCGACTTCCGTAAGGACGTCCGTTCGACTAACCTATCTATCAAAACATCTTAGTTCTGTTTCCGCAGCCCAAGGATGAATTATAAACTCGCTCACTGTTTGACTTCCAATCAATGACGACTAACTCTGTCAACAATTGACGATAGTCCATGGACGTCTCTTCATTTTCTGGCTTGTCATCTTATTTTGTAGCATGTAATTTCTTCTGCAACTATCGCTGACGGTTTGCTACGTGCTCGCAAGAGAAAAGATGTAGGAAAATGAGGCAAGAGTATCTGAGGAAGTTTTGAGATCCAGATATTCTTCAGTTGTTAATATGCTGCTCTTGCTTTGCCAATCCGTGCCTTCACATCTGCATCAGATCCACCGTGTTCATCGATGATACTGCCCAAATATGTAAAGGTTTTTACATCTTCCAAAGCTTCTCCGTCAATTGTGATTGGATTGGTGCATGCTGTGTTTTATCGAAGAATCTTGCTCTTCCCTTTGTGTATATTGAGACCTATTGCTGCTGAGGCTGCAGCTACACTGGTTGTCTTCTCCTGCATTTGTTGTTGCGTATGCGATAGAAGAGCCAGATCATCTGCGAAGTCTAGATCATCCAACTGCATCCTAGCTATCCACTGTATCCGGTGCTTCCCTTCAGATGTTGATGTCTTCATGATCCAGTCGATCACCAGGAGAAAGAGAAAGGGTGAGAGTAAGCAACCTTGCCTGACACCGGTCTTTACTTCGAACGACTTTGTCAACTGTCCTCCATGCACGATTTTGCAGTTTAATCCATCATAGGAATTCTGTATGATATTGACTATCTTCTGAGGCACGCCGTAGTGTAAAAGAAGCTCCCATAGGTTTGTTCTGTCCACGCTATCAAATGCTTTTTCGTAGTCGATGAAGTTGATATAGAGTGATGAATTCCATTCAATTGATTGTTCCACAATGATCCGTAGAGTTGCGATTCAGTCTGTGCACGATCTATCCTTACGGAATCCTGCCTGTTGGTCTCGAAGTTGGGCGTCTACGGAGTCCTTCATCCTGTTTAACAATACCCTGTTGAAGATTTTTGCTGTTATTGAGAGAAGAGTGATCCCCCTGTAGTTGTCACAGTTGCTGAGATCGCCTTTCTTTGGTATTTTGACTAGGAGTCCTTCTTTCCAGTCTTTTGGTACCTGTTCCTCATCCCAGATCTTTCTAAAGAGAGTTTGGAGTATCCTTGCAGTTGCCGCTACGTCTGCTTTCAGTGCCTCTGCTGGAATGCTGTCTAGTCCTGCTGCTTTACCACTTTTAATTTGTCCGATAGCCATGCTGATCTCTTCAATTGTTGGTGGGCCAACATCGATTGGGAGGTCCGTGAGTGCTGCTTCGATGTTGGGTGGGTTCAGTGGGACTGGTCGATTCAAGAGTTCTTTGAAGTGTTCTACCCACCTGTTTCGTTGTTCTTTGATGTTGGTGATTATCTTGCCTTCCTTGCTTTTCACTGGTCGTTCTGGTTTACGGTGATTTCCGGAGAGTTTCTTTGTTGTGTCATACAGTTGTCTCATGTTTCCTTCACTGGCAGCCTTTTCCGCCGTTATTGCCAAATCTTCCACATATTTACGTTTGTTCGTTCTGATGCTCCTCTTCACTTGCTTGTTTACTTCTGTGTATTCAGCCTGTGCCTTGGTTTTTTCTGCTCTTGTTCGACTGGTATTGATTGCTGCCTACTTGTTCCTCCTTTCTTGAATCTTATTTAGTGTATCGATCGTGATCCAATCCTTGTGATGGTGCTTCTTTTGGCCCAGAACCTCATGACATGTTGAAGTGATTGCCTCTTTTATCTCTTTCCAGTTGCTCTCCATAGTAGTTTCTTCTCTATTGAGTAGATCATGAAAGGCCTGGAACTTATTGCACCTCTAAATTGTATCTCCTCATTTCTGCAGCAATTTCGAAAACTCTCCCAGTCTCCCACATTGTGCGAGCATTCCATGTACCTAAATAAATGGTTGCTCTGGTTGTCAGAAGGGGCATCGGTCTCGTGACTTCCGAAGAAACTCGGCTTTCATCATGAGGCGTCATAATTCTTTTAAAGGAAGACCTCCTGACTACCAGGGCAGAGTTTAAATGGTTTGAATAATTTTTTCTGGTTAGCGTTTTTTTAGTGAGTTAGTTTTCTACGGAATAGGGTTGCTAACCCCATGCCCAACCCTCCTCCTTTATATGGGCTTGGGACCGGAAGTAGCCCCCCGGAAGGGACTGCAGGCGGAGTTGCATACCAATAATAATCAAATAGAAAAGCCACATGTGTGGTGGGTTTCAGTTATATAACAAACAAGAAAAAATGACTTAATAGTATAAAGTATGGGTTTTTTACATAATACTAATGATAAGTACCAGAATTTCGTATGGACTCCTGGCAATAATTGATTTGACGTGAGTGTGACCGTGAGACTTATGTCGTAAACTCAATATCCCGGTTACCTAACGGATCGCTTATAAAATGAGTGAAATCAATACAGCTAAAATAGCTGTCATAGGTAGTATACTGTACAATATCTTCAGTTAACTAAGTATTCGTACATTGATAAAATGAGCTCAAGCTATGAAAACATATGTTTTGGCTAAGGGGAGTATAAACCTCAACCCATTTCTATGCTAATAGTCTGAACTTTCAGTCGGTGTTTATCTAAAGGTAACTGTGAGGAAACAAAAATATTTGTGTAAAGAATCATTAGTCAGGTTACTGACTGTTTTAATTATCTGTTTACA